AAAACAAAATGTATTTATTTATAAATAAATATTCTGAATTTCCCATCACAAAGCAACTTTCTTTTTTAAAGAAGTGGTATGTCTCTCCTGTTCCTCATTTACTGCTAAATTTCCTCAGAGAAAACAGAAGAAAAAATAAAGAACTATTTCCATCTTCTTCTGCAGAATTTACACCAGCCTGTAACTGCTTTGTGCCCTAATTGTGGTTGTTTCCCTTTTGTTCAGGCTATAAAAGCTGGATGAGATTTTGGTGGGTCTCAATCCATCTTTTTCTCTGCTGTGCAGCCCTGACTATAATTCCTATTTTCCAACACTTTTTTCTCCTGCTGCCAGCAGGTCACCTTGGCATTTTCCAGAGGCAGTGGGCTGCCTTTTCCCCTGACACAGGGCCAGCTCCCCAGGGCATTCCCAAGGGCCCTGACTGTCCTCCCACCTACCAGGACTGGGTGTTATCCTCAAGGGCTGGCTCTGACCCTCAGCTTTTTCTCATGGGAACTCCTCAGAAAGACGTTCTCACCCCCAGCAGCCCAGGAACTCCTGCAGTTAGAAAGGAGAATGTCTTCCAGGAAGGACATCTGGTCTGGAGATATCATTCAGCCTCCACTTCCCCTTTTACAAAAGCATTTCACTCCAAATTCTGCTTTTCTCTCAACTTCTCTGCCTCATCTGGTGGCATAAATTAAAAAATTCAACAGCTATTCAAATGCATTGGCACATCACGTGCAGGAAAAAGCTTGTAGGGATTGTTCATTTTCCGAGGTGTGGAGGTGGCAGAGGTGAGCTCCAGACCAGGACAGTGTTACATTGTATTGTTATTATATTGTTATTCCTATTTACCTCATTAGGGAAGCAGCTGAAAGAACTTGCAAAGGAGGTTTGTGCCAAAGCTGCAGTCAGCAAGGCCAGGAAATTCAGTGGTTTGTGATGGAGGTGCTGGGGCAACTCAGCCCTGAGCAGGGGAGGATCCCTGAGGGAAAGGAAAAGGCAAAGGCAGCTTCACACCTCCAGCCCAGCCCTTCCTGCAGTGTCACTCTGGGGAGCTGCTGTCCAACAGCCCTTAGAAAATCAGCACTGCTTAAACATTAAAGGCTTGCTTTAAAAATTCAGCAGCAAAGTTCACCTGCCTTTTAGGGCCCATTTAAGCAGCATGGAGGTGAATTGCACTCTCTAAACGTGGGCTGCAGTCCAGGTGTCACAGGGGAGCTGGGAGGAAGAAGAGGCTCCCCCACACACTCCAGTGCTGGGATAGACACAGCAGCTCCTCCCCTGCACTATTCTGGGCTGGAGCTCATCTCTGCACCTGCACACCTTGGTAAAGACACCTTTTAACACTTCATCTCGCTCTGCTTCACCAGAGCTGAGCAAAAGCTGCATCTGCTGTTCTGAGAGCCAGGAAAAGTTGAAATATTGATGTTTTCTTGACTGAAAGCAGACCAGCAGTACCCAACCCCACAGCACTCACTGACCCCCTCCTGCCAGGACGTTGCCCTGTCACAGACATCTTTTATGAAAAATCCTTTCCTTAGGATTTTTCCTCCTGAGAAGCTGAGAGGCCTCAGGAACAAAATGTAAACAATGATTATCTGCTGCTGTGGAATGCAAGAGGTGCATCTGTGATTGGTCTCATGTGGTTGTTTCTAATTAATGGCCAATCACAGTCCAGCTGGCTCAGACTCTCTGTCCAAGACAGAAGCCTTTGTTATCATTCCTTCTTTTTCTATTCTTAGCCAGCCTTCTGATGAAATCCTTTCTTCTATTCATTTAGTATAGTTTTAATATAATATATATAATAAAATAATAAATCAGCCTTCTGAAACATGGAGTCAGATCCTCGTCTCTTCCCTCAACCTCAGACCCCTGTGAACACCATCACAGTTTCCCCACATCCCGTGGATCCCTTTGGCCTTTGCCTTGCCCGTGCCACTCTCAGTTCTGTTCGTTTTTGGTGCAAACCTGAGATTCAATGTGCTGCCCAAGGTCACCCAGCAAGGTGGCAGAGATGAAACTGGAGAGCAGCAGGCTGAGATTGGGTTCCTTTCCCCGTGGGACTGCAGATGAGCACTCTGCTAATGGCTCTGCTACATTCACCCGTACATACTCCCTGCCCTGCCTTCCCTGCTTCTGCAGCTTTTGAAATGGATGCTCCAATCTTGGTTTGGTTTGTTTTGTGAGGCAGAGGGGGCTCCCAGCCTCTGACCCACCAGCAGCTAAGAACTGAATTTCTGCTTTGCATAAGAGAAATACAAAATAAACAGATCACATCACTAATATTTAACACTCAAAGCTTCCAGCTCAACAGCTGATCCCACTGATGCTCTTTAAATGCATCTTTTCAAATTTATCAGCTGTAGTGTGTTGACATGCTCTGTTTATGGAGGTCTCTCTGCATTTTGGCTCATAAAATATTTGCCATATTCTAACCTATCATAGAATCATGGAAACAGAATGGTTTGGGGGCTGGAAGGGACCTTAAAGCTCATCCAGTTCTATTCCCTGCCATGGACAGGGACACCTTCCACCATCCCAGGCTGCTGCTCCAAGCCCCATCCAACCTGACCTTGGGTACTTCCAGGGCTGGGGCAGCCACAGCTTCTCTGTGCCAGGACTCCACCACCCTCACAAGAAAGTTTTTCCTGATATCTAATCCAAACCTGCTCTCTGTCAGTGTGAAGAAATCTCCTTTGTCCTGTTACTACATGTTCTTGTAAAAGTCCCCCTCCATCTTTTTGTAGGATCCCTTCAGGATCTGGAAGGCCACTCAGGAAGATCTAATACCATTCAGGTCTCATTTTTATCACAAATACTCCTTCTCATTTCTGTGCAGTCATTCTGGGACCCTCCAAGGCACATTCTCTGAGACAAACACACCACATTGTGACAGCAGCACATCTCCACAACCTTACAAGCAAGCCAAAATTATTGCAAATTAACCCAGAATTCAGCTCTCTTACAGACTGCTAGACAGGCCCTGTATGAATAAAGAACACCCTATTTAAATAACTTCTCTTTCTGTGCTGTTTGTTCCTTCATGCATTTCCCCTTTTGCCTCTTGGAGCTCTGTGAGATGTCACCCTGTGCCTTGCTGAGTTCTGCCTGATTCCCCTTGCCTGGGAGTAAAGCCTGACACAGGTTTGCTATTCTGGGTAACCAAAATCAGTGTCAGCTCCAGGAGCACAGCTCTTGTCAGAGCTTAGCTCTGAGCACTGCTCTGCAAGGTGGGGTTGGAACAGCAGGGTTAACAGAGAGAGGGAGATCTGCTGGCCTTGGAGCAAAGGCACAGGGATATGGTAAATTCAGAGGAAATAGTGGAAACCAGCTGAGAAACATGAAAGCTTTGGGAAGCATGCAGTGCTTGATCTTTGTTTGACATGAGGCTCTCCAGTGGCTGGTGGGAACATGGAGGATTTCCTTTCCAGAGCCAGTTAGCTGAGAGCACAGAGCTGTTGAGGCTCTGTGCCTCAGAGGTTTAAAATTTAAATTATTATTATTAAATTTAAATTTAAAAGGTTGAGAACTTCACAGCTCTTTTGGAAACAGACAGCTCAGGAGACCCCAAATACAGCGGCCTTGGAGCAGCATCCCCTTCTTTCCACCCCTTGCCAGGTGCCAGCACCAACCACACAGTGCTTATTTCATCCAACCCTCACCCACTGTGATGCTTTATTACAAAATCTTCTTTCTTGGGCCCTTAAACACACATTTATGGAATAATACAGACTGTGGAAGCAGCATCAAGAGTTCCTCTTTCAGATCATGTAACTGGTCTCTGCTGGGACAGTCCTGGTCTGTGCCTTTCCAGAACTCAGGGAGGTGGAGTTCAGAACTTGTATTTTGAGAATATGGCTCAATTCCATGTCTGTCAGAGATGAAATTGAAACTTCTGTGGATTCCCACAACAGATTGTTGATTTTCTAGCTGATTAAGTGCAGCCTAAACAGGTGTGTTTCCCCCATAACTTTGTCCTTTTCTCCCAGGAGTCTGAAGTGACATTGGGAATAGGAAATAACACAGCACAACCCAAGAATTGCTCCTTCCCAAAATCCTGTTTGTGCTGTTCCCTGACAAGTGTGACAAAAAGTGGCTGGAGACATCTCCCTGGGATGCCACCTCTAGCCAAATGCTTTTGGAGAGACCCTGCCAGGAGCAGATTGGGATCTGCTGGTTAACCCCAGGGGAACTGGAGGTGTTTTTCCAGAGCCAGGGTACACCAGACTGGTGAGACTGGATTTTGCTGTGTGTGCCTCTTACCGGTCTGTGTAACACAGGAGATGAGAACAAAGCTCTGGGGCCAAGCCCACAGGTAACACCAGGATTTGCTATCATTCCATCACAGCAGAGAGCACTGGGCAATGAGCTATTAAACAGGATATCCCAAGATGAATATTTTATCCTTCCTGGGAATATTCCTTGTAAGCAGTCCAAAGGATTATGTCTCCTTTTAAAAGAAGTCCTTTAATTTATATTCTGAGGTATGCACTCCCAAGATTTAATTTACCCCAAGCTATGAAATTAAGCTTACCCAGAATTTCAGACTGGTTATTTATGTGATATATTCCACCACACAGTTGCTGGTTTAGTAGTGCAGTGATACCTCGAGTGCAGGAGATGCTGGTGAGGGTCATGATTTTGTCTAAGCCTTTAATTTAGACAATAAAGGATCCACATGCTTTGAACCCCCACAAAGAAGATTTGAAGTAATCTTAACAAATTATTTGTAAAAGCCAGATTGTACCCCATTTTCCTGCAACTTCTCAATGCATCTCCCCAGGAGCTGCCAAAATAAAAGGGAGGAAAAATGGTCTCAGGCTGTGTCTTTGTCTGTGAGACGCTGAACGCAGCAGCTGCAATCAGAACCCAGAGAGCAAACTCTTTGTGAGGAGTGTTTCCATTTCATTTTCCAGACCTCTGCCCATCCCCATCCAGTGCTGTCCCAGTCCTGCATGACGTGGATCTCATTTCCCAGTGACACCAGGGACCTTTACTGAGCTATGTTCACTATGCCCACTATGTCCTGCCACGTTCCAGGGAGGGCTCGCTGTCCACGCTGTGACCACAGCACCCTGCTGGCCTCCTGCCCTCTGGCCAGCAACTGCCTGAGCTGCTGCTTCCCACTCCAAGCACTGCAGCTGGGATAAGCTATACAAAAAGAATAAAAAGAGAAATTCCTATCCCAAGACAACTAGGACACTAGGGATTAAGCTGCTTTGATTACAGTCACTAAATAGACTTTGGTTTTTCATCTGAAATACCAAAAGGGATCTGTTGGAGACCCCTGAGTCCCTCAGGTACATTCATGCTACCCAGAATACAAGCTCTAAAAGGCTGCCACAGAAATCCAGGCCTCTGTAGCCTCATGAGAATATTTTTCCTATAAAGCTGCAAAACCATGAGCAAAAAGCCTTGTATGATAACTCGGAGGTAGACACGCAGGGGAGGTTGCTGAAAAAGTCTTGGATAGTTAGGAAGAATGATTCTTGTTCTCAGTCTGCTTGGCCTGGAAGCTGAGGTGCCTGGGGGTGTCTTTCCCATCCCTTGGGATGGATGGTCATGGTTCAGGGCACCACCAAGCCATGGGATGTTTATGTCGGCTTCTTAGGCAATTCCGTGGGGCTTGGTGGCTGTGGTTGGTCACTCTTGGTCTGGCCTGCAGGAGGGGGCCACGTAGTCTTCTGATGGAGGTGGCTGAAAAGGAGAAAGATGCCTTAGGTAGTTTGGGAGAAGGACACAGAGGGTAATTATTATAGCACTCGTTATTTAGGAAAGAAGAAGCAGCCACAGATCTTGCCTGGTTAGACTGTGCAGGCTGCCTGTTTTGTCTGAAAATGCTTTTCATAACCTTGAAATTATCATTTGCAAATGGGTACTTTGTACCTAAACAAAAAACTGTGCTGGCAGATCTTCAGGTTGAGTTAAGCTAAGAAAACAGTAGGAGATATTTAGGTCTCAAAGTGCCCTTTCAGATAACTTTAGGAAATGGCTCTGTTAAATACAAGCAGTTTAAGAGGTTTCAGGGAAATTTAACAGTTTAAGGTCCAAACAAAGCCAAGTCAGCCTGCTTTCCTTGTCTGGAGCTTCACAGCATCTCAATATCACAGCATAAAAAATTAACATATTCAGTGATGCTTTTTCCCTTACACAGAGTGCACTATAAAAATGCTGGCTAGACAAGCCACAGAACCACAAATTCCCATCTGGCCTGAAGGAAAACCAGCATTTTATAAAGCAAAAGAGAAATCCAGGAATTCACACCGTTCAGGGCAGGAAGTCTCTTTCTGTCTAGGAATTTCACAGCATTTCTCTGTCATGGCCATCTGGAGGCCTCTCCTAGACTGTCTGATCAAAAGTCGTCAAGCAACAGTTTTGGTTAAAAAAACCCAACAAAACAGACAGGAATTTTTAGTATCTGTGTTGTCCAAATTACAGACCACAGCAGTTTTGACACCTACTCCTTGTAATTTGGGATTCCTTCAGCAGGCAGGCACTGGTCCCTGTCCCATGGCAGAGCTGCAGATGGAAGCACAGAGCCAACGTTAGTGCAGAGAACATGCCCAATGCTGCTGCATTATGATAATGCACATTTAAATGGGGCAGGAGCTCAGAAAATGCTGACAGCACTCACAAACCAGAGGTGCTCCTGAAAGGCTGCAATTATTTCCTTTGTGTCTTGTGCTTTGAGACAAAGCCAGTGCTGGGCCGTGGCCACACTGGGCTGGTGAATAGCATCAAAGTAAAGGACTGGGCACCTGTTTGGGGCTGTGCATTCACCTGGACATGACACTGAGGAGGTCAGACACTCATTTTGTGGGGGAGGAGACAAGCAGGGTCAAATAATTGCCACCAAGAAATGTCTCTGGCTTGTGGACCAGCTCAGAGTCCCAGATTGGGAAAGCCAACCCAGACTGCCATGGAGCTGGATTGTTCCCTGGTTTGCTCACAGATGTGAGGAAAAGGGAGCACGGCTGGATTTTACTCCAAGGAAACGGGAGGTGACTGTTCCCTTCCTTTCAGCATTGCTGGAACGGTACCTGGATGGCAGAAGGAAAGTTTGGATCCTGGGTTTAAAGCTGTTGGGAAACTGGACAGGATCCAGCAAGGGAAGCCCCAGGCCTGCAGGGAGAGGCTGGGCAGGGCTGAGGGAGCTGGGCTTGTTTAGCCTGGCAAAGAGGAGGCCAGGAGGCAACTTCACAGCCCCCACTGCTACATCAGGGAAATTAAAGGCTGTGGAGCTGAGCTGTTTTTGGCAGGGCAGCCGGTGTAAGTGGGGGCAGAGGCCACAGGCTGCCCCTGAGGGAGCTCAGGCTGGTGCTGGGGAGATCTTTGTCACAGAGCAGTGAGGGAACACCATCCAGGAAGGCTGTGGATCTCCATCCTGGCTGGCTAAACCCACTGCCTATCCCCTCTACTGGGATGGCCCTACCTGGAGCAGATCTGATCTCCAGCAGTCCCTTTCAACCATCATTTCAGTGATTCTGTGAAACCCTCCTCCTGCCTGTCAGGGCTTTTCCCCTGGATAAACACCTTTCCTCTGGCCCTGGGCACAAGTCTTTGACTCCATACCCTGCGACTCTGCATTGCAGATCCACAGATGAGTCACATGGATATAGGGTAATTACATCTCAGTGAGCATGAGAGAATCAGGGAGGCTCAACTGGTATGGAAAAATATGGAAGGTGCTGGAAACTGCCAATAACACTGGCAGAGATCCCTGGGACTTGCTGGGATTCAGCTTTCTCTGGTTCATTTAGTGCTTACCGTCCTTGTTGGAGAGGATTGGTGCTAACAGCTCTTTAGCTTCTGATAGCAAAAGGTCAACAAGATCTGAAGGTGGAAGAGATGTGTCTGAGACTGCATCTGTTTTATCCTCTTCTGTTTCATGGTTGACGCTTATAAATACGGAAAGTGCCATCAATAGCTCTGTCAGAGAATGGGCATTGACAATCCTGGCCAGCCTCTCAGGAAGGATCTGCTACATAAATTCTGTGTGTTTGGGGGGTTGCATCTCCATCCCTCCGCATTCAAGTGTCTGTTAGACACACTTGCATTGCTTTGTTACAGAAAAATAGCAAAGTAGTCTTTAGAACTTGTCAAAAGCATTTCCCCCACGTTATATTAGAAAGAACCAACTTGGAAACTTAAAAACTGATTTCCATCGCTCTTAAAAACTGGCTTTTAAAGGGACTGGTCATTATCGATGGGACAGTGACTTTTCAATGATTTAATCAGTTAAAAACACACATAGAGTTGTGGTACATTTATGCCCAAGTGATAGGAGACAGGCTCGGGTTGGAGGGGAGTCCAGAAGCCTGAGCTCTGTTTCTGCAGCTGTTCATGCAGCTGAGAGTCTGGAGAGCTCCTTGCTTACACTCTGTCTGTTCTAACTGCTGATAAAAAGGATGTGGTCCTGGAGCCAAAACCTGGTTTATATTTGGAAAAACAGGTGAGTCAAAACTCTGCTGCTCTGAAACAACCTGCTTGGGGTCTCTGCTGACAAGAACAATTTAACCCAAGCTGAGTTTCAGCTCCTCACTCCCAAAAAATGCCTAAACACAGGCCCAATTCCCCCAGCATCAACCCACCAGCAGCCTCCAGATCATCTTTCTCCCATGGTTTCACTTCCAAAGTGAAAGTATGTTCAGAAACTCTGGGTAGGTTACGTGTGAAGCACCTTCCCCAGAGAAAGGTCAGAAAAGGACATTTCATGTTGCTGTTCACCATTCCCAGAAGCCATCTCCTACCTTTTCTCATCTGGTAAATGACTGTGTGTGCTCAGGACCTTGTAAATGTTCTGTCATGCAACAGAAAAAAAAAAAAAAAAAGGGTTTCAAACTTGTGGGAATGAATAATTCCTGAGAACAAACCCCATGGGTTTTTCCTGATGATCAGATTTAATATGACAGTAATCAGCTTCTGCTTATTCATTGCCCTTGAAGCAAATATCTCAAGGCCTTTTGCAGCTCAGGCAGCATTCATGAATTTACAGACACATCTGAATTCTGCATTTTAATACCACTGCTAAAACACATGAAATGCAACACAAAAATCCTCTTCCAAGGAATAATTTTGCAGGCTGCATTTCAGTGATCATGGCTGCCAGCAACCCCTGGCTCCTGGGCTGGACCTGCACGTGTCAGCTCTCATTACCATGCACTTCTCCAGCACCACTGAGGGGTGGAGGGAAAAGGAAGACATTTTGCTCCAGTGCTCAAATCCTGTGATGTTTGACCCTGGGGTCAATGAGATATATTTCCAAAGTCTGACCCCAAACTGCACAGGCTCTAGCAGATAGTGCTGAATCTCTGGAGCATTTAATTCTTCCTTCTCTGGAGCAGAGGACACAGCATCTACATTTCCTTTTGCTCCACTGTTTCTGCTTGATTTAAAGAGTTCTTGGGACAGGCCACCAGTAGCCATGGCAGATAGACTGACTACTAACGCTTCCCATGCTGGCCAGTTTATTAATTACACAGACTGGTGTTCCCAATATAGGGAATGAAGTGGAAAACCCATCAAATGAAGCATTAAACTCTGAGATTTTGCAAGAAATCCAGGGGGAAAAGCACTGGAAGAGCAAAGCCACTCTCCAGGTTCCTATTTATAGAGCTATAGCAAGGGAAGGTGGGCATGGATGATTTTGACAGCCTCAGCACAGGGAGCCAGGAAGAGCAGAGCCACCAGCAAAACCTGCACCATGGAGTTTGCATTGCTCCCAGGGGGATGAGGAGATCTGAGCTCATCCCCTGCTTCCTCCTAACCAACACACAGTGACTTTTTTGGGTAAGAGAGGGAAAAAATACCCCTCTTGCTTATGGAGCAGGAAGTTGATTGGACTTGCAAAAGCACCCTGAAGGAAAGAGGCCGTGGTGATGCTGCAGCAGTGGGCAGGTGCACACCTCACCTGCACAAACAGGAGCAGTTTCCTATTGCAAATCTCCAGGCGCTTCCGCGACACTTCGGATTTTCGTAGCTGGCCATCAGCCAGGGACAGCTGCCTCCTCAGCTCCAGGATGTCCTCCTGACACAGGGACACAGCAGGAGGAGAAAGGGGCTGGTGATGCTCCAGCCTCGGCTTTTGGAAACAACAGTTTGGGGCATTTGGGAAGGGACGGTGGAAGTTATGCAAATTATAACACAGATGCAGAGACTGTATTGGCCTTGTGGTCCCACACAGCAAATGATCTATGTGCTATTTCATTTTCTCCAGTGTAAATAGAAGGAGGGTAACCTTAGTTAGTTGTGGCCTGTGTAAATAGAAGGAGGGTGACCTTAGTTAGTTGTGGCTGCCCCATCCCTGGAAGTGTCCAAGGCCAGGCTGGACGGGGCTGGAACAACCTGGGATAGTGGAAGGAGTCCCTGCCCGTGGCAGGGGGTTGGAATGAGATGAGCTTTATGATCTCTTCTGGCCCAAATCATTCCATGACACTATGAACCCACAGAAGAAGAGTCTGAAGGGCTGTGGGTTTTTCCTGGGGGTTGCATTACCTCTATTTCAGAGACGTGCTTTGCTTTTTTCCCTGCCAGCTGCATCTTCAGTTCTGCAATTTCAGCCTCCAGCAGGTGGATCACTTCCTCGTAGTCCTGCTCGGCGCTGTGGGCCTGTCTCTGCACCACCTCGGCCATCTGCAGTTTGCTGTGCAGGCTCCTGTTCTCTGACAGGAACCCCAGCGCCTTCTGCAAGCACCAGGAACTTCTGATGAGCACCCCATGTCCTCCTCAGCTGCCAAACCCACGCCCAAACCCACCCCAGCACCCCAGAAATCCCTCCACTAACTTGGTTCAGCCGCTGAAGCTCATCCTCCATCGACTTCTTGCTGCTCTCCACTTCTCTCAGGAGAGACTGTGGGAAATATTTTCACCAGATTAGGAGCAACAAATGACAGGACATTTTCTAGAATGCCCCTACCCACCAAAATATTCTTTTACAGAAGTTCTGTGCACTTTGTCCCCACACAGGGAGAGCTTTTAGAGCTGTGACCTGCAGAATTCCACCTGGACACAGCTGAGGTGCTCACAGCCAGGTGAGGGTGAGAGGACAGGTGCTGCTTCTGTTAATCACACCCTGGAATTCTTAATGAGAGCTGCTTTTTAAATGTGTTAACTCCCTGCTGAGAAGGGACTGCATGCTTTGAGTACAAATAAGTTTTCCTTTGAGGTTGAGAGCGAGAAAGAGGCAATTAAGGAGAGTGGAGGGTGAGAGGCTCCTGTGTGGCTGAGGAATGCACAGAATGCAAACTGGTGACTTCTCCAGAGGGACAGGCCACCCCATTACCCCCACAGAGAGCTACAGCAAGAAATCCCAGCCAAGAAATCTGCTCTGAACCTTCAGCCTGCGGACTTCGTGCCGCAGATCCCTCATCTCCAGCTGCAGCTGCTCCAGGTCCTCGCTGCCATTGCAGTTGAGAGAGTCAAAGGTCTGCAAGGAGAGGGACAGACTCATCACATATTGAATCAGAATCACCTAAAAAGGGAGTCAGCATTTTTATGCCATAGATCAAAAGGCACATTAAATAATTCAGCTTCAGGATGGTTCATTTTGCCCCACAGAATTTTACTCTCTGATCCCCATCATTGCTGCTGTGGCTGAGCTAGAGTGAATTTTCACTTTGTGAATCAAATGAAATTACTTAGAATTGATTAATTATGGCTATTCCTCCTTCTGCATAACTGCCAGGCTGCTTCCTCATATTATCCCATAGATACTCTTATTTCCTTATTACAAATGAGAAGTTTGAGGTCTTTTATGGAATTTTCTATTAAAAATGATTAATTAATAGTTCTGCTTTGTCTTTCTAACTCTAGAACAACCAGAAAATTGTAATTTAGCTTTTCCCATCTCAGAATTCCATGGATTCAATGTAGCAGAGCTTTGGGGTGACTGACCAGGGAGTGAAAAGCTGATGTATCCAGCAAATTGGCCACTTCGTGCTGAGTGAAGAGCACAGAGCTGGAATCCAGACCAGCCTCGTCCAGCTCCTCCTGCATCAGATCCCTGAGTGCTTGGAGAACATCTGTGAGAAACAAGCAGGTTTTACCAGGCTAAAAGAGAAAATTGCTGTGGGTTAGGGGAAAATGCCACTGATTTTGGGGCCATCCACTGGTGCCAAGCAGGGTTTAGAGATACCAGACAGGTTTCTCTAATAATCCTGGGTTTGTCAGCAACCCCATCAAGCTTAAATGAGTTGTTGACAGCCTTTATTAGACTCCTGTTCCTTATCCAACTGAAAAACCTGATATTTTTAAAACCCAGAAAACCCCAGATATTTTCACAGGGGAGTTTTGACGACTGTGGTTCTGAAAGTTTTAAAATTTTAAGCTAAACCCACATTTCCCTGAAAAAAGGCACCTGCTGGCCATTTCTCACATTGCTGATTTAAACAAAAACACAACTCAGTGAGTTCAGTACTTAGAAAAGGTGTTAAAGTTACGAGTCTGAAAATCCACATTAATTTTGCTTTCAGATATGAAGGGAGGCACAGCAGAAGGGGCTGTGTGGGACAGGTGGGGACCATCAGGGAGGTGGCACCAGGGTCCCAGAATCACAGAAATATGGAATGGTTTGGGCACAAAGGGACCATAAAGATGATCTTATTCCACCCCCTGCCATGGCAGGGACACCTCCCACCATCCCAGGCTGCTCCCAGCCCTGCCCAGCCTGGCCTTGGGCACTGCCAGGGATCCAGGGGCAGCCACAGCTGCTCTGGGCACCCTGTGCCAGGGCCTGCCCACCCTCACAGGGAACAATTCCCAATTCCCAATATCCCATCCATCCCTGCCCTCTGGCAGTGGGAGCCATTCCCTGTGTCCTGTCCCTCCATCCCTTGTCCCCAGTCCCTCTGCAGCTCTCCTGGAGCCCCTTCAGGCCCTGCCAGGGGCTCTGAGGTGTCCCCCAAGCTGGAGGCAGCTCTGCAGGTGGGGTCTCACCTGAGGGGCAGAATCCTCCCCTCCTGCTGCCCATAGCAGGGCTCAGCCCAGCCCAGGGGGGTTTCTGGGTGCTCACAGCCAGGGCAGGTCCAGCTCTCACCCTCCAGCACCCCAAATCCTCCCCCAGGGCTGCTTTCCATCCCTTCTCTACCCAGCCTGGACTGTGCTTGCAGCTGCCCTGGCCCAGGTGCAGAACATGCACTTGGTATTGTTGAACTTCATGAGGTTCACAGGGTCCCACCTTGAAGCCTGTCCTGGATGGTGCCTGGGCTGCAGCAGGAGCCAAAGTCTCTGTGCAAAAGCAGCACATTTGCTAAATACCCCCAATCATCCTCATTTCTGTTTCCACAAACTACAGCTCCAGTCACTCGTAGGATAGGGCTGTGGTTCTGTGTCCCATCCCTCCCTCTGCACAAAACATTGATCCAGATGACTTGTGACTGTTCTCTCTGCTGGGGACATTGCTGATGGCTTTGGATTTTTGCTGAAAGCCTTCTGAGGAAGCCTGTAGGTCAGCCATGCTCTCGAAAGCCACAGAAAGCAGAACTGGCTTTCATTTTCTGTGTCTCCTCTGGCCAGTTCCTGCTAGGAAAACTGGGATTTTAAGGAAAATAAATCCTTGCACCAACTTTCTTTTAGTCTGATTTTACTCATGATATGACAATAGGAATGGCTTTAAACTGACAGAGAGTAGGTTTAGATTAGATGTTAGGGTAAATTCTTCCCTGTGAGGGCAGTGAGGCACAGGTTTCACAGTGAAGCTGTGGCTGATCCTTCCCTGGTAGTGTCCTCTTGGACAGGGCTTGGAGCAGCTGGGATAGTGGAAGGTGTCTGGTGGAATGAGATGAATTAGATGAATTTTGAGGTGCCTTCCAACCCAACCCATTCCAGCATTCCATGATTCTACAGAATGCCTTCTTTTATGTTTGTGGCTTCCCCTCTTTATAGGCTCCATCCCTACCCAGGCAGCTGTCTCACCAGCCACTTCTGCCCCTTTCCCCCTTTTTAGCTGCCAGTGAAGCAGCACAGAAATGTCAGAACCCCTGGGCAGAGCCCCTGCTCACCTCCATAGGCCACAGTCCCCTGTGAGTCTGTGGTCAGGCTTTGCCGGAGCTGCCTCTTCTTCTCCTCAGTCACATCCAGACCAAGGTACTGCAGAACCTGGAGCAGAAACAAGGAGCCTTTAAAAACACTGGAAAAGCAATTCTTTGGGGTAGGCACTGGGAAGACACTTGGTGCTGGGTTTCTCCAGGCAGCATCTCCCAAAGGAACAGGCTTGGATTGGATTTGCAGTCTCTCCTTTGCTGCACATGTACAGAAATGTCTGTTCCTGAACACAGGTTTACATCCCTCCAAGAACATTTTATCTGCAATCAGATTTGCTGCTCCAATGAGTTTTCAGGACTTTTATCAAAAGCCAGTGGAGTTTCAGCAAGACTCAGCTGGCAAGAGCTCAGCCTCTCCTTTCTCTTACTGCTCAGAAATTGTGTTTGGGACCAGAAAGATAAAAGCTATTAACAGAGTGTTTCTCATGGAGAGAGGAGACATTCAAACATTTTGCTCCTCCACAGCATACTTTGCCCTCTCATTACTCCTGATGCCCTAACTTCTCCTGATGTTTATCAGCTCAACCTCAGGGCAAAACACAGAAGCAGATCAGCCTGTGCAAGCCCCACTTCCCTGCTGGCAGCAGCAACTGAAAGCTTTTAAAAGACAAAGTCGAGCAGACTCTGGGAAAGAGCCTGAGTGAAACGCTCGAGTGCCAGGCTGCACTAACAGCTCCTGCTCACAGGAGATTCCCTGGGAAGGGGCTCTGAGGGATCCTCGCTCCCCTTCCCAGCGCCAGCATCGAGTCCTGGGATCCCTCTGCTGTCCCATTCCCACCTCCTGTCCCTCTGCTCACCGCCCTGAGCAAGGCACTGCTGCAGGCTCCCTCACTCTGGGATATTGGTCACCGCAAAGCCACCTCGGGCTGTGCCAGTCGGTGTCACCCCCCAAAGCTAACAGAGCTTTGAGAAGCGAAACCAAGCGCAGCGCTCCTGCCAGCCTGAGGAGCAGAGGTCGCTGTGCCGATGCCACCCTGGATCCGCTTCGGGAGAATCCCGGGCTCCGAGAGCGGCTCCGCGGCGCTGCCGTCGGGGGGCAGCAGATGCTCGTCACATCGGGGCCTCCGTGGTGTCCCCGGCTCTGTCCCCATGTCCCCCCTCAAACGCCGGAATAACCCAAGGTGCCAGACTGGAGAACCACCCTGTCCCTCCCCCGGGTCTCGGGCAGCAGATGGGCAGCTCTGCTCCATGCCCAGGGAGTGTGTTCTCCATAAAATGATGGAAGAATCTCGATGAGGTAACTCCTGTCTCAGCCTCCCCTCCCGCACACCAGGCTGCCTGAGGTCACCCTAGCAGTGACAGCAGCACCAAAAGTTTGGAGGGCACAACCTTAGCCAATGTCTAAAGGAGGTGCAGCTGCCAGGAAAAGGATTTGGGAGCTTCATGGAGCCCCAAGAAATAGCCAAGATGAGCCAAGGGATGTTTAAATGCCCCTTTGGACACAGGATGTTTCACCTTCTTTACTTTCATAGGCTGGACTCAGCCTCCAGCAAGCTCAGCTGAAGCTGGACTATTTCCTGCACAGTGCACAAGGAGGGGACCTTGCTGTGGGGAGAAGGACCCTGCCACTCACCAGTTCCAGTTTTCCATCCTTGAGCCGGATATGGGGATCCAGGGCTACTTTAGGTTTGGTGCCTGAAGCTGCTTTGTAGTTAGAAGCTGAAGCAGGTGCTGAAAAATCAAAACCAAAGATTAATGGGGAAGCATTTGGGTAGAGGTGTCTGCAAAGCAAAATTCAGATCTCTTGTTGCATGGAATATAAAGTGTGTGCAGCAGGGCAAAAATCCAAGTCCAGGATTTCCTAAAACCAGCGCTGGAAGGCTGAACTAGGCCTCTCTTGGAAAGATTGGATACTGGGGAAAATCCTTCTGAAACTGGGCTTCTGCATGGTTTAAAGTGAGATGTTTCATCCAGGGACAAAGAACTGCAAAAAAATCCAGCACTTTGGAAATCTCCAATCACAAAGTTTTGTGGAGTTTTGGAGTTATGGTGAACTGTGAGAAAAATGAATTAAAATCTGCCTGGTTCTTGTCTACTCTGATTAAACAAAACAGAAAGAATTCCTGACACCCATGGGAATGAACAGATTAAAAATTATGTGGAAAAGCACCACTCTGAGATTTTTTTCCCTTCCCAAGACTGCAAAAAGCCTTGAACCCTTTTCCCCTCAGCTGGGCAGGCAGGGTTTTTGGGCAGAAGGAGCCACGTGTGTTGTGAGGCAGGCACAGAGGCACAGAGAGGCAGAGGCAGCAGCTGCTGAACTGGTGGAAAGCTGCCATGAGCTGGAGGATCCAGCTGCCAACAGCTGGCTCAGCATTGCCAGCACAGCTAAAAAGGTCCAGAGCACAGAAGTCCATCCCTGGAGGGAGCCTCACCTTTTCCATTATGATTAACCCTTGCCTGTAAGGAACCATGAAGAGGGCTGCTCCTGGAGAACCCACCCAGACTCCAGGAGGGTGCAGGGTGTCTGTGCCTGCCCCTGCCCACGCTCAAACCATCAGCCCAGTGGCAAGGTTCCTTCTGGTGCCAGTCATGACATTTGCCCAGGGAGCAATTCCTGCTGCTGCTTGGGTCTGGATAACATCACAGGGAGCTCTGTTTTGCCAGGTCCCACAGCTCCTCTGGAATCCCTGCAGCATTTCTCCCTCACCTTGCCCTCCTGGCCATTGGGGCAGGGCCCAGGTGCCAGGAGAAGGCAGTGAGTAGCAGAGGAGCTGCATAATCCTCCTAATCCAGGCCTCCATCTGCTCTGCTAAGGCCAGCAGCTGGGAAGCAGCAAGAGGCAGCAAATGGGTTTGCTGGATCAGCCACCAGCACTTCCCTCTCCAAGTTCAAGGGCAGAGCCATTACCCTTGGAGCCATGGCTAATCAGGATTAGCTCCCTGTGCTGTCAGCTCTGGACACAGCCATATCCAGGGCATCCATCAGGCACCCAGAGAGAGGCACTGCCTGGCCCAGGCTCCCAGCCTGTGGTTCTTTCAGAGTCACTTTGTCTCCATGGATGACAACACTGGCACAAAGCCTCCTTGGCATCCCACACTCAAATCCTGGAGTGAGCAAATCCCCAGCTAAGTCAGGCCCTGGGTGGGTCACTGCTGGTACTGGGCTGCTCTGTCCCCATCACCAGGACTGGCTGTCTGTGGTGACCACCTGAGAGTGTCCCTGGCACCTGCAGGGCGCTCAGGAAGGGAGGACAGAGCTCATCCCCACCCCAGGGCCTCTCCAGGGCAGCAAGGAAGGCAGAGCTGAGCTTGCCCAAGGTGAGCCAGGCATCCCTGGGAGCAGCTGCCCCATCTCCTGCTGCTCCCAGGGATGGGCTAAACACAGCTTAGCTCCAGGGCTTGCTCTCAGCCTTCCAGAGGGGAATTGCAGCAAGGCACAGGGATGTGTAAGCACAGGGAAGGAAGGGCTGTTGGATTTGAGGCTGCAAGAATGGTGGGCAGCACTTGTTCAGGATTTGTTGGGTAAGTCCATCTTTCCCTCAGGGCAGGAGTAACCTTCCTCTCACAGGGGTGTGGGGTACCTGGTGGAGGTTGTCTCCCTGGGCTCTGGGGATTATTGAGGTTTCCTCAATAGCATTGAGGGATTTGGGAAGCTGCAGGGTGATTCAGGTTCACCCCTCATTGCTGCCACGCTGTTGGATGAACAGAGTGGTTCTCTCCACAAAAGGTAAGAGCTCAGGAGACCCAGAGCATAAAGATGAAACACAGAATGGAAAATAAGCAAAACCTGAAGCTTGGATGGAGAGATAAATCTGATTTATTTAACATCTCTAAGCCATTTCCCAGTTTGGCCAATTGAGGGCATCCTCAAAGCCTGTTCAGAGCCCAGGGTTGCTGTGTACATCCCAACTCTCTACCTGACTGCTTTTATGCTGTGTGCCCAAGACCCCCCATTCCCCCCAGAAGGGAATGTGGCCTGTGGAGAACCTGCTGCATGTCTGAGGTGGGCAAAGCCACTGCTGCAGGTGAACCACAGGCTGAGAGTGCAGGAATTTGTCTTCTTGAATACCTCAGTCCTTGAGCGCCTTACTAAAGAGTTTTGCTGCTATGGGCAAACATGGATATAATTACTACTCACTGAGTAAACCAAGCTGCTGCCTGCCCTCTCTCTGAGCAGGCTGAGTGTCACTATCACCCCATTAAATTCCACTCCAGCAGTATAAACATTGATAAAAAAATGTGGTGATAGCATAAGAGGAATGGCTTTACAGTGCCAGAGGGCAGGGATGGATGGGATATTGGGAATTAGGAATTGTTCCCTGTGAGGGTGGGCAGGCCCTGGCACAGGGTGCCCAGAGCAGCTGTGGCTGCCCCTGGATCCCTGGCAGTGCCCAAGGCCAGGCTGGGCAGGGCTGGGAGCAGTTTGGAATGGTGGAATTTGTCCCTGCACATGGCAGGGGGTGAGATGGGCTGGGCTTTAAGGTCCCTTCCAAGGCAATCCATTCTGTGATTCTGTAATTTCCTCAGCTCTGAGGAGCCACAGCTGTTTGTCACCCACACAAAGGGAATGGTTGAGCAGGACTCACCTGAGACTGTGAGCTCTGGTGGGCAAATGTCCGGAGACAAAGAAGGCACAGGAAAAGGATTTTCACGTCTATTCTAGAAAAACAAGACAAAATGGCACAGACAGTTGCTAAGGAGAATCTGTTGGTGTAAATAATGAGCAGGAGATCGAGTTCAAGGCAGAGCCACGAGGGCACCACATACATCCCTTGTGCAGGTGAACCTAAAGAGATTCCAGGGGTTTCTGTGGGAGCACCTGGCACAGGCTGAGCCACCCCAAAACCTCTGGTCACACACAAACAGTTCTGTCCTTTCTGTAGCTGTGCTTGAGTGCTGGGGCTGGTTTTGGCCTTGCCCGGTCTCTCCACAGAGGATCTCCCTGAAGCTCTGCATCCAATCCAGCAGGGAGGTCCCAAGTCTGGCCACAGCCAGGTGTGATATTCACCCCAAACCCATCATTATCCCAGTGAGCAGGGCAGGAAGCTGAGATCAGTTCACACCCTTTTTTTGTGCTATGTCATGGCTGAGAGCACAAGGAAGAGGGAAAAATAATCCAAGGGTGAGCACCACCAAGAGAGCTGTGACACACCTGGGGACTTGGGTGCCAAGAGGGCACAGGACTGGTGTGAGGACATACAGACAGGCTGCCTGGGCACTCTTTCCCTGGTGTGCGAGTCCAGACCTTATTAGAAGCTCCATCTTTCAGCAGCAAAGTGAGGAAAGGAGGCATTTCAGTCCAGCCAATGGTGGGATTTCATACAAGTGCACAGCATCACAAGCTGGGGGTGTGGGATCCAACCACAGCACCCAGGCACAGCTCCAGGGGCTCTGGTGCCTTTCTAGGGCACATCTCCAGCCTGGTGCACCAAAAGGCAACACATATGTGACATTCATGTAAGTCTGTGTCCCCACAGGTCTGGAAAGCAAGGTGTTTTGTGAATGGTCTTGTATGAGAGGAACATCCAGCCAGCCTCTTTTGAAGGAAATGTGTGTGGAAGAGGGCAGAAAGGACACCCAGCACGGCACCAGTGCAGGAGGGGAGTGACAAATGCACAGAATGGAGCTGCAGACCCTGAGGGTTGTGTGGTTAAACCCTGTCCAGCCATTCACAGCTGGAGCACTGCTCTGCAAACACAAAGTGGAGCTTGGCTTTGCAGCAGGAACGAGCCTGGCTTATCATTAGAGCAGTCAGGAGCAGGAATGGGCTGTGCAGGAAAGCTGGGGATTCATCCTCATCACAGGGCTTGGAGAATAAAGAGTTGTGCCTGCCTTTGGCTAGGAGCCTAGATCAAACTGACTCCAGAGATCCCTTCCAGCCCTATGACTGGTGCTGAATGAGATGCAGGTTGCTATCCACAGAAGGGCTTTGTTTTTTTTTAAACCTGAGACTCTTGAAACAGGTCTGAATGCAGGCCCTGAAGATGAAACTCCTGTCATTACCTCCACAGATCCATCTCTGTCTCAAACCCAAGCGAGAAGAAATTATTTCAGATTTAAAACATCTGCCTGCAGGTAAATACATCAACAGACAGACTTCCCACTGGATTTTTAGAAGTATTACTAGGGACTCCCTGAAGAAGAGTTCTCTGATCAAGGATTGGTATCTGTCTCCAGGATTGCTATCACACCTCTTTAGAGATGAATTTCCACCTACCTCTGGGGACCTCACGTGGACCTTCAGCCTGCAGGAGCTCAGGCCATTCCCCAGAGCCTTTGGAGGTGGGGATGGGCTGTTGCTGTGCACTGACAGGCCAGGGTGTAACCGTCCCCTCCCAGGGATAAAGGCCACTTCTGTGCTTCCCTCGTGTCTTCAACAAACAACAAACACACAACACCTTATTAGCCAAACAAAAGGCACACATTTGCAGAGCTCCCGTGCTTGTGGTTCTGTCTCCAGGATAACCTGGCCTAAGCCTGAGCAGCCTGCACCAGTGCAGCTGGATCTCCACCAGCTGCATTCCATTGAATCATGGAATGGTTAAATTTGGAAAAGACCCCTCAGATCATTGAGTTCCCCCATTTCCTGGGTACTGCTAAGGCCACCACTGACCCACATCCCCAAGTTCCACATCTCCATGGCTTTTGAACACTTCTACGTGATTCCACCACTGCCCTGGGCAGCCTGTGCCCATGCCTTTACAACCCTTTCCATGAAAGAAGTTTTTCCTAATATCCAATCTAAACATCCCCTGTCACTACTCGAGGCTGTTTCCTCTTGTCCTGTCATTTGTTAATTGGGAAAAAAGCCCAATCCCCACCTGGCTCCACCCTCTTGTACAGATCCATAAGGTCTCTCCTGAGTCTCCTTTTTTCCCCTCCTTTAACTTCAGTTCTGTTTCAAAGCAGTGATAGGAGATACTCATGAGGCCCAGAACATCAGGAAGGTCTGGATTACACTTCAGGATGATCCATGCATTACAGATTTCCTGATGTGACCACGTTAAAGAATCATTTAAGGCTAATAGTGCCCTTGAAGCCAAACCTTGGTATGAAGTGTTCTGCCTAAGACTCAGCAGCACCTGATGATGACAGGAAATACTTTCTATGCCTACCTGAATTTGGCTTTTTCAATTATTTTTCTGGCCTCCTCATGTGTGCTGCCCACCAGAGAATCTCTGTTGATGGCAATGAGTTGGTCTCCAGGTCGGAGCCGACCATCCTAAACAAACAGGGAGAAAGACACAGCATTGAGAAGGGACATCTCCGCCCAAAGCCTTCTCCTGCAACACAGATCCTCATTAGTCCATGCAATTATCCATCTACTCCTGGAAAAGCTGCTTCAGAACAGCCACAGCCTCTAGGAAAGGTGCCCATGGCAGAGCTCCTGAGGGTCTCCACACCAACTTACCTTGTAACAGTCCCCATCTGGCAAAAGCTCTTGGACATAAATCATGGGCCCGTCAGGCCTGTTGGATCCACCACTGATTGTCAGCCCCAAGCCAGAGGAGTTTGCTACAGAGATGCTCTGGATTCCTGAGTCAATGGAGTAGCTGCAAGGGAGAAAAGTCAGCAGGTGACTCAAGGAGATCTAGGTTATCTTCTCATATCACTGAACAAACTGCCTGGATGTATTTCCATGTGTGATCCTTCTGCCTTCTCCCAGCCTTTTATTTGCATCCTTTCTTCCACCCACCGTTGGAAAGGGGAAGTGAGGCCTCCTGTTCTTGGGCAGACATTGTTCAGTGTTATTAAAGTGACTGCTTCCCCTAATCCCCAATAGGGGAATACTTGTTTAGAGAAGAAACTAAAGATTTAACCAGAATATACTTGGCATTCCTGGTTTTATAGCCAAAACCACACAAATGATCAACGTGTTGTTGCTTGAATCCAACTAAATCACCAGACAGCAATTTACAGATGGATCAGCTATCAAGCAGTTCTAAGGAAACCTCAAAGTGAAAACAGATGGGTGTGTCTTAACCAGGATTTGGACCCAAAATCATGCAAGATGCCCTAAGAAATGGGCATCCTTTACAGCAACACCCACCACACTGTGAGCTGCTGCTGTGACAGGTGGCTTGTCCAGTTGAGGATGGAAAGGAGCAGCAAACAGGAGCAGAGATTTCCCTGGGCTCCCATGGACAGCACTGCAACAGGGGGGTTGGGGAAGGATTTGGTGGTGCAGAAGGATCAACAAGCCTTTTCCTCCAAATGGGATGGGTGCAGCTGGTGGGTGCAGCTGGCTTTTTGCTTTTCAGTTTATTTCCACAGCAGCCCCTGCCCAAAGAGCCTGCACTGGCTCCTTGTGTTACAACTTCAGACCCAACAGCAGCTGAGCATCCCATGCCCCACAGTGACACCAGCACAGGTTCCCAAGCAATGCCATCATCCCTGGTGGTCACACACCCCAGGGAAAGGGGTGCATGGGCCATAGTCTTATGAAAAAACATTGCTTTAAGGTGAACAACCTTAGGGAAATGAAGTCATGAAATACAGCATTGAAATGCTCTGTTCAACCTAGAATCTCAGACACTGGCTGTGGTGAGATTTGGCTGCACCCAGCTCCCATTGCTCAGTGGAGGGACAGAACCTCAGGTGATGCCACAATGAGAAGTCACAGCCTGGGGACAGCCTGTGGTGAGCAGCAGGGGCGGCAGCCACGTGCATGAACAGACCCATGGCCCAAATTACAGCTCACAGCTGACCACCAATGCTCAGGTGAAACCAGTGGTCTGTGATTCCAGGGGAAGACCTCTGGGGCCTGGCAGCTGCATGGAGACAAGCAGAACATGGCATAGCATGGCAAGGAGGTCACCAAGACAGGCCCATTAATGCCCATTTTCCTGCCCATGGTGGAGGGGTTGGGATAAAATGATCTCTGAGGTTCCATCTCACCCAACCCATTCTGGATTCTACACCTCAGCCTGGAGGGAATTAACAGCACAGTGAGGATGGCTTGAACAAAGCAGCTGCCAAGCAGATGATCTGGTGTCTCCTCTGTTTGGGTCTCTCACTTCACGCAAGCAGCTTAAACCTCTGGTGCCAAATATTTGTCCTCTGCAAATCCCTAATAAGCTGGTATTTAGCAAGAGGATTTACTGGTTCTGCAGTGAGGGCTGATTCTCTTTACCAGTGCCTTGGCTTGTTTGTGCTGGCAAAGGAGGGGAGCTGTGAGCCCTGGGGACAAATGGTCCCCATTCCATGGCTGTGAACAGCCTCCGAGCTGTCCCTCTGGAGAAGGGCCCTGGAGACGGGACTGCAGAAAAACCAGCTCAGCCTGTCCAACCTCTGACCCTGCAGAGTGTGCCAGGGCACATGGCCACATGGAAACACACTCTGGGAGATGCTCTGGCCACCAAAGGATGAGGTGGCTGCAGGATGACGACCCCAAAGCAAAGGGCATCAGGGACGTTTGCATGCAGAGGTGCTGGTGCTCTTGGAGCATGGGGTCAAAGTGCCAGGAGCGGGGCAAGAGGAGACAAGCTCCAAAAACAGCTCCTGAGAGCAGCACCAGCCTTGCAGGAACACTCTGCTCGTGGTTTGCAAGGTGATGTGCAGGGCCCTCTCAGTTGGCTGCAAACCATGGCCTCTCCCTGGGATTCACAGGGGAGGAAGAGTGTGGAAACGCAGGGCACCAGGAATATTTCTGTCTGCTTTGGAGTGCCCTGACCCCCAGGGCAGCACTGACTTTGACCCTAATTCATGGAGAAAGTTTCCCAGACTTCAAGATAGACTGGAATCCACAAAAGTGAAAAATAGATTATAGAGAGCAGTGTAGGGGTGTCACTTGGTGAGAAATTGAGGTTTTGGGATTTTTAGTGTGTTGTGGATGGAAGCAAGATGGAGGCACAGGGTGTCATCCTGGGTTTCTTCTTCATGCTTCTTCTTCCTTTTTCTTCATGGGTTTGAGAGACATTTTGTAATTGGGCAGAAAAGTCCCCATTGCAGCTCTTTGGGATCAGTTATTGGGTTAAAAGGGAAAATAATCTAGGTGTCAGTTCTAAATTGGATAGTTTAATCTTAAAAAGACCTTGTAACAAGAGATTGTTGGCCATTTTGTGCCTTCTAATGAAAAGCTGCCAAACTCACAGTAATGAGACTGTTTTACAGATAAGAGATAATAAACACTTGAATCACTATCTCAAGTGCCTTCAATCCAGACTCAGAAAAACTGATGACTGGTACCCCCACAGAAGAAGAACTGCTGCATGGTGCAGACCTATGGATTATCTCAACTGGGAACCTTTTCACCCCCACTGGAACAAACCTCCCAGGAACAGCCAAGATGCCACCACCACATCCAGGAGATGCTGTGACCCCTGAACCGTTCTGGCGATAGAAGAGTAGAGAGGTCATAAGGATGAACAAAACTGTTCAACAAGCCCTGGATTTTTTTAGTGGGTGTATCCTCTGACATTTGGTGGTGTCCTGCTGCTTGGGCAGGCCAGGTTTGGTGGGCTGTGTACGTACTGTGCGTGAGGAGCGTGCGCCAGGCTGCCCAGGAAGGGGCCGTGCGAGGTGGCCGGGCTCAGCAGCAGCGGGCTCTGCGAGCGCGACGACGAGCCCGATGAGGTGCTCTCCAGGTACCGACCTGAACACCAAAGGCACAGTCAGAGCAGGGCACTCAGACACCCCAGCATCACCCTCCCCCCTGCTCTGCTGCTGGGAGATGGTGCTGCACCCCTGGATTTCTGGGGAAAGCCACATGGTGGTTAAAGACATCGGGATACTCCTGGATTTCTGGGGAAAGCCACATGGTGGTTAAAGACACCAGGATAGGGCTGGAGGAGAGGAAACATTCAGCCTCTTTGGCACAGTTCTGTTGTCATTATAGTGCAAGAGTTCTATTGTCATTACATTGCAAGGGTTCCATATTGCAGAGTTTCGTTCGTCCTTGATGTTTCTTGTAGGCAACTCCTCTATGCACTGACTCGTCCTTGTCCTTGCAGTAGCCAACTGACTCCAGTCCCCTCAACCAACCAATCTACTCTTTTATAACACTTTTCTGATTGGCCTGTTAACATCAGGCCTGCTCCTAATCCTTAATAATTGGCTCAGCTGCAACTCTTTAGGGGGGTAAGATTACTTTCTATACTACCTTTATTTACTTATGTTGCTACCTTTATTTACTTTATGTTCTATCCCCCTACACACTGCCAATCCTACACACCTCTGCCATAGGAGAAGGGCCAGCAGCTCTCTGGTGGGATGCCAAGCTGTAGGGAAAGCTTTCTTCCCCAGGCATACATGGCTTTTTGTGCTGGCACCATGCTTAGGTCAACCTTGTTGCATCTCATTAAACATTTCCCATTTGCAAATGGGATGAAAAAGAATGATCTTTAAATGAATTATTGCTGAAACGTCTTGAAATCCGGAGCAAAAATGTACAGCTGCATTTACTGATGGAATCAGCTGCCCAGCACATGAGTTAGGCAGAATCTGGGGATCAGGGGAGTGGTTATGATCCCAATTCAAGCTCCCGTGGCAGCATTGGCCATGCTCTTGGCATGCACCAAGGGTCTGCAATAAGGACAAACTTTCTTCAAACCTCCACCCCAACACCCCAAATGCAACCACAGCTCCTTCAGAATGACACTGGGATAAAGGAAACTCTCTCTGCAGGGAGAAGGGATTTCAGTTCCCTGCTGGGCTACTCACTGCCGCCGTGCAGGACCGGCGAGCTCCGCGCCGAGCCTGTGTTGCTCTGGGAGCCAAACTTCTCCAGCAGCTCAGAGAACTCTCTCCTGCAAACAAAACCATGGTGCAGTCAGCTGCTGCTCAGAGCTCCCCCCACGTGATTGTATGGCCAGAGAGCCCCTGATGGCAGGGACTGGGTACCAAGGCTGCAGGGCCAGTGCTCTCCAGCTGTGGGAGCAGACAAAGCTTCCTCCTGGGAACACCCTGCTTTCAAGAGCTTGTGCAAGGCTTCAGGTCTATAATCAATCCCATGGCAGTGCAGCTCTCCTGTGATGGGCTGGAGCTCCAGAGTGCTCCTTCCCTGCCCTGGAGTGTGTTCAGGACAAGAGGAGCTGGGAATGGATGTATCCTTACAGGTCTTTTCCAATCTTTATGATCCTATGTTTCTATGGACAGGCTCTGTGCTGAGAGCTGTCATTCCTGAGAGAGGGCAGATGAACATTGGAGCCCTGCCTTGCATCCTGCCTTGCATCCCTCCTCATGGACCCTCCTGGGAATGTTTTCACCCCCATCTATAAGGCTCAAAAGTTTTGCAAACACACCACACAAATGAAACCCTGCCAGAAGGAGCTGTAACTGTGCAAACATAACCCAAAAGTTCTTGGCCTATTTGTGGCTCTTTCTAGGACAGTTAAATACAGGTTATTCTCTGGTTTTCCTCCTCTTTTCCTGGACAGAAAGCAGATCCTGTAGCTCTTGCTGGAGTAAAGAGGGAGGTGGCTTTTGGGGCACCTGCAGAAGCATCAGCCCACTCTGCCAACCCATCCATGATGATGTTCTCCACAAACATCACAAGCTATACCCTTGGAGCATGACACCTCAAAAAAGACCTGCATGCAATCTCATCCCCAAAATCCCCTGGAAAGTGATCTCCATGCCCAGGCACCAGACACTTTGTTCCAGGTTGAGTTTGACCACTGTGTGTGGAGCCCTTGATGAGCTGGAAGTCCCTGTACACCACAGGGGTGATTTTCTTCATGACCTTTTTTTGTGTTTTGGAACTTGAGAACTACCATCGTCCACTACATTTATCACAAGAACTACATTCAGCAGCTCCTGCCTCATTTCTGTAACCTTTCTTTGAGTTGCTGTGAGCCCCCCACATCCTTTCAGATGAGGAGGCATGGAAAGGAATCACATCTCCATCGTGCTCATGTTCAGCAGCCTCCTGATCCAGCCCTGCCACGCTGCTCTCATGTTGTCCCCCTGCACTGGGGGGTGTTCTCTCCCTTCATAACCCAACCTCACCTGCAGGATCTGACCTTTTGGCAGAGAGATCCTCAAGGATGACTAATTTCTTACACATGCCAGTTAATAAGCACCCAGGCAGTGGGACAGACCCTGCAAATGTTGTTTCAGTGGCCACAGCAACACCATTAGATGTCATCTTTGAAGGCAGGAGGGAATCCCCATGGGAAGGAGCCTTCCTGATGCCATAGCCCCAGGAAAAGCCTGGTTGTGAGTGGCTCCCTCTCAGGCTTGCCAGTCAGACAAGCTCCAGAGGTGAACCTGTAGGAAGCCAGCCACAGCAAAGTTCCCTGAGCGAGGAGACTGCAGTGACACACTCGCAGACGCTGCGTCATCTGCGTTCCTCACCAGGACAGATGTGGGGTGTTATTGGCTAGATTAGAGTCAACAATATTAAATGATGAATGAATCATCAGCTCCTCAGGTTCCTGCTGGAAATGCTCTCAGTAATTTACATCTTCCCAGTCACAACCAGCTCATTAACGAACTTCAAAGACCAGCGCATGCCTTATCTAATATTGCCATCAAATTTATGCCTTATTCATTCCATTTAATGCTAATTTAAAACCCAAGTGTCACACAATGCTCAGTGACATGCCTTGGTGAATCCCAATATTTGCAGCCATACTATTGTCTTTATCAACCAAACCCATGACCTTAAAAAAAGACCAGGACTTTGTTCAGAAACCCCACGACCCCACAGAGCATTTTTGGCTTTCACCTCTTGGGGACAAACTTCCCAGGAACAGCCAAGATGCCACCAGGACACCCAGAAGATGCTGTGACCTCCCAGTCATGGTGGTGATAAAACAGTAGGGAGGACAAGAGGATGAACAAAGCCATTCTCCAAGCACTGGAATTCCTTATTGGATCTACCCCTCAGACAGTGGCAGGCATTTTTGGTGGCCCACCAAGGGACAGCTGTGTGGGGCCAGCCCTGTGTGATCTGCACTTACTGTGCATGAGGAGAAGGCAGTTTCATAATGTAAGGCACCAAAATATGTAAATTATTAGGAAAATTTCTCCACTGAAAGGATGTCAGGCACTGGAACAGGCTGCTCAGGGAAGTGGTGGAATCACTAGAAGGGTTCATATGGATGTGACACTTGAGGACATGGTTTAATGGTGACCTTGGCAGTGGTGGGTTAAGGGTTGGACTCGAGGGTCTCAGAGGGTTTTCCAACCTAAATGATTCCACAAGCTCTGGGGAAGCACAAGGACAAGGCAGCCCCTGCTTTGCTGATCCCTGAGCTGAGCCTGGGGTGGATCTCAGCAGAATTATCCCAGTTTCCCAGCACAGCCTCTGTGTTTCTGCAGCTGATTCACACCAGTTTCACTGGCAGCTCACACAGCCAGGGCCTTACCCCTCCCTGACCCCTGCAGGGGCAGGTCCAACACGCTGCAATCTCACACATTATTCCCAGTGGTTAGCAAGCCACCAGCACTCAGGCTTTGTTTTGGGCTGGGTATTTCTGTGGTCATCTATTGTTCCATTTTCCTCAGATAATAATCCAGCAGAGCACAGAGGAGGCTATAAACGCCAAACAATGGCTGAAATACTCTTAGTCAATGCAAATGCAACTGGTGCAGCAGCTCTGTGACCCTGCAAACACCGTCACCAACCCGTGCTGCCTAACTCTGTCATAAGTGAGCACATGCACGGGCTCAGCACTCCTTGTTGTTGTTTATTTTGTGTCCTGAAATTCATCCACAAAGGAGGTTTATCATTATTTTCTCAGGAGCCTGAATGAGCTGTGAGGCTGGGTCCAGCCCAGGGACAATGTGACCAAATGCCACCGTCCCAGCTCCTGCTTTGTTGGTCACTCCTGCCAGCCCCAGTCCCACCAGGGACACAAACACATGACTAACTTGAGGCACACATTTATTTATCCCAGCAGAAAGTAAAGCACTTTCTGGTGCCAGTCTCGTGGGAATTAATTTTGTGCTCAGTGCTGTGTTTGGAGGAGCTGGACGGGGCAGACAATGCCCAAACATTGCAGATTAATGAAGGAGCACACTGAAGGAATGCCAGCAGGCCTCGCTTTGTGCTTTCAGACACCAAGAAGCTTCAGAAGATGTCTTTAATATTTAAAATTTAACCCTTACTAAAACATTGTGAATTGTCAGGTGCCTGCAGGACTAAAATGCCCAGCTTGATTAAAAAACAACAACCGTGGCGTTGTATGAGGTGGAAAGTTCATTTTAACAAGCCCTTCTCCAGTTTTTTTTTCATTAGGATGCAAACATTTGAGGTCTGAGGGATGCTTGCAATGGAGCTTGGCCCTGCAGAGCCTCAGCCAGCCCCAGGGTGGGATGGGGGGTCTGCAGCAGCAGCCAGCTCCAGGATGACTTTGCTGCAGATTAAGCAGCAGGGGGTCAATCTCCCCGCAGAAAATTGTTATTTTATCTCATAATGCCTCTTTGTGCTGCCCTTTTGTTCCTGGAAGAACAAAGGGTGAATCCTACATCAAAGGTTACACAGCGTCTGGAAACCTCAGCTCTGCACCACAGCTGGGAGAGAAAGTGGAGCCTGTGACATCAGAAATTACTGGTTTGTCTCAAAAAAAAAAACAAACCTGCAGGTGAGTGGGAGCCATGAACCCAGAGCACTCCAAAAGCGTCACAAAGGCAGGTTTTCTCACACAGCTGCTGTGGAATGAGGGCACCCCCAGCCAGCCTGGAGCTGACACCAGCTCTGTGGGGAGGTCACACCTGGAGGGGAGGGATGGGGCATCCAGAGGGACCTGGGCAGCCTGGAGAGGGGGAACCCTCAAAACTCATAAAGCAAAACTCATAAAGCACAACCTGTGCAAAATTCATAAAGCACAACAAGGCCAAGTGCCTGGGTCAGGGCAGTTCCAAGCCCAGTCCAGGCTGGGCAGAAAAGGAACCAAAAGCAGCCCTGGGAGAGGATTTGGGGTGTTGGGGGTGACAGCTGGACCTGCCCTGGCTGTGAGCACCCAGAGACCCCCCTGGGCTGGGCTGAGCCCTGCTATGGGCAGCAGGAGGGGGGGATTCTGCCCCTCAGGTGAGACCCCACCTGCAGAGCTGCCCCCAGATCTGGGGAACAACAGCAGCAGGACCTGGAGCTGCTGGAGAGAGTCCAGGGGAGCCCATGGAGAGACCCCAAGGATGGAGCCCCTCTGGAGCCAGGCTGGGAGAGCTGGGGGTGCTCACCTGGAGAGGAGAAGCTCCAGGGACACCTCAGAGCCCCTGGCAGGGCCTGAAGGGGCTCCAGGAGAGCTGCAGAGGGACTGGGGACAAGGGATGGAGGGACAGGACACAGGGAATGGCTCCCACTGCCAGAGGGCAGGGATGGATGGGATATTGGGAATGAGGAATTGTTCCCTGTGAGGGTGGGCAGGCCCTGGCACAGGGTGCCCAGAGCAGCTGTGGCTGCCCCTGGATCCCTGGCAGTGCCCAAGGCCAGGCTGGGCAGGGCTGGGAGCAGCCTGGGACAGTGGGAGGTGTCCCTGCCATGGCAGGGGTGGGATGGGATGAGATTTGAGGCCCCCTCCAACACAAACCATGCAATGCCTCCCCTCTCTGTGGTGGGATGGAAGCAGTGCCAGGCCCAGGTGCAGCTCACTGCTCTGGGAGAGGCTGGCTGCTTGTCCCAAAGCCCAGCCCTTGTCCCTGGCACACCCAGGCTTGCTGCAGCCAGCCCCAGCCCTCCCTGCCAGCTTAGCACTGAATGCTCAGCACAGCAGAGCCATGGGCTGAGCTGTGTCACTGTCACACACAGGGCTGGCAGGGCAGGAGGGACCATCCTGCATCTGCACCAGGCACCAGCTCCTGCCACAGCCCCTCTGCTGGGAGAAACAGGGTGGGCACAGTGACCTGGGAGCTGATTCTGCTCCTTTACGGGGCCTGGGGGCTGTTCTGGGCCCCTCACAAGGCAGACATGGAGGGGCTGGAGGGTGTCCAGGGGAGGGAACAGAGCTGGGAAGGGGCTGGAGCACCAGGAGGGGCTGAGGGAGCTGGGAAGGGGCTCAGCCTGGAGAAAAGGAGGCTCAGGGGGGACCTTGTGGCTCTGCACAGCTCCTGACAGGAGGGGACAGCCAGGGGAGTCCCAGGGAACAGGGACAGGAGGAGAGGGAACAGCCTCAGGCTGGGCCAGGGGAGGTTCAGGTTGGACACCAGGAGGAATTTCTCCATGGACTGGGTGGTCAGGCCTTGGAAGGGGCTGCCCAGAGCAGTGGGGATGTCCCCACCCCTGGAGGTGTCCGAGGAGCATGGCACCCTGTGCTCTGGGCTGGGAGAGCAGTCAGAGGCTGGACTCACAGATCCTTTCCACCCTCAGAGATGCTGTGAGTCTGACCCTGCTCCACGCTGCAGAGCACTCACAGAGGAGCAGCCTTTCCTTCCTGCTGGCTGTGTGAGCCCTGCTACCCCACCAACCCCTGCTCCTGGCATGCTGGGGATGCATCTCGTGTGGAAACACAATTAATTTAATATTTGATCCTGCCAGGACCCAGAGGTGCAGCACAACCTGGCTCCTCCCAGTGATAAACCTGACAGACCAGGCCCATATCTGTGCAAGGCAGAGAAACAAGGAACTATTGTGACTTTCAGGCTGAGAATGAATAAACAATAATTATGACTATGCAATAAAATTATCCTCATTAGCTGAAGGTGAGCACAGACGAAAATCGGATTTAAGCATCACCTAAACCTGGTGAGTCCAGCTCCAAATCTGAATCCTCTGCTTCAAGCCCTGGCATTACTGCTGCTCTCTGCAGCCCAGCTGATGCGACAGGCCCCAAACATGCATCTGATACATGCCAGAGACTGAGCTCCATGAAAAGCACAGGTAATTTGGGCCTATAATTAACTCCAGAGACAAATAATAGCGTTTATGACTCAAATTCACCCGAGGGCAACCACAACAAAATGCTACTCAGCTGAGTCATTGGGAAAATTGGCAGGAGGTTTGGATCCAAACCCAGAGCCATGATGTTCCCTCCTCCTCTGAGTGCTCTGGGTGAGGAAGGATCTGAAAATAAACTGAATTTTCTCTGCCCCGTGTCCTCCTCAGCGTTCAGATCTCATGGGGTGCTTTGCTGGGCAGGGGGAAGGTGCCCTCAGCTCATGGCATGGCACCTCCCTGGGCATCACCCCCCTTTCCACCCGCCTGGCTGCTCACCCTGCTCAAGGACAGACTTAAAAGATAGCAGGGCATCAATGAAAGATGCAACTAAGTGAGAAAAAAAAAGTGGAGAGTGGAAAAATCCTTCCCCGTGTTCCCCCAGCCCTTAATCCTGGAGATATGTATTCGTGTATTAAACAGTTTGCGAGGTGATTATGTAAGCAAAATCTCTGCAAATCTTTTGGAAAAAGGAATAAATAAACTGATTACTTCTCCCCTCTGCCTCTGGCTAACCTTTTGCAGATTTAACAGATAACAAACAGTGAACGGAGGCCAAATAAATCGCTTGAAGTTCCATTGCCCTGCCCCAGCTCCCGCAGGGCTCGGGGGGAGCCGGGGCCACGCCCGGCCCAGGAGCGCTGCAGGAACATCTGCTGCAATTGGGGATGCTGGAGCTGCGGAACTGCTGGGAACAGAGCGGGATGGAGGCAGAAAACCCCAACTGGGGGCTGTGGCTGAGAAATCGAGTGTGTCAGAGCACAGGGATCCCATCCCTCCTGCTGGGAGAGTGTGAGATGCCCATGGCACTCTGCCCCACCGAGGGGACTGCTGTGACCCACAGCTGCATCCCGAGCATCCCCACTGGAGCAGAGCATCCCTGCTGACCTACTGGCTTCACCCAGCACCTCCTCAGAGCTGCTGAAGGACTTGCACTCAATGCAATAACAAGAGGCAGGAACAGCTGGGAACAGAGCACCGTGGAGGCAGAAAACCTCAACTGGTGGCTGAGAAATCAAGTGTTTCAGAGCGCAGGTATGCCAGCAGAGCTGTGGGATCCATCCCTCCTGCTGGGAGAGGTGTGAGATGCCCCTGGCATTCTGCCCCACCGAGGGGACTGCTGTGACCCACAGCTGCATCCCGAGCATCCCCACTGGAGCAGAGCATCCCTGCTGACCTACTGGCTTCACCCAGCACCTCCTCAGAGCTGCTCAAGGACTTGCACTCAATGTAATAACAGGAGATGGCATTTCCCCTGGAAGAGGGTGGCTAAAAGCAGCCCGTCATTAATAGCAAATAATTCTCCCAGCAGTGTATGGCTGTGTCAGAATTGGTCTCACGCCTGTCATTAGGGCACTCTCACTGCTGTGCCAAGGCAGGAAGGCTGCACAGCAGCTGATGGATAAGGAATGCACCCATCATTAATCATCCGTCATCTCCACACTAACGGGCTCTGGGTGTGCTCAGCAGGGACTGACCTGAGGCAGAGCACAGCCTGCCCACAGCCTCCCTCTGCCAGATCCCACCCTCATTGCTCTGCTTCCTCAGCACCTCAGCTGCCCCTGCTCTTGCCAAGGGAGAGGCTGTGCCAGCACATTGTGCCAGATTCCTGTGGGATATCAGCAAAGACCCCACTAATCCATGCCTGGGGTCCCACAGCTTTGCCCTCTCTCATCATTGTCCCACACAGCTTAAACCCAATCAAGACAAGACTGAGCTCTTCCCTTCTCCTTCCAAACCCTCTGAGTCTCTCCAGAGAGAGCAAGGTTTTCCAGGGAGCAACAAGGGGACGGGTTTAGGGAGAAACTTCTCATCCTCCCTGAGAAGGAGGGAACCTCTGGGAAAGGAAGACCTTAACTCAGTGTGTCTGATACATGCCAGATGCTCATCCATGATCAAGGACAGACTTAAAAGATAGCAGGGCATCAATAAAAGACAAAACTAAGTGGGGAAAAAAAAGTGGAGAGCAGAAAAATCCTTCCCCGTGTTCCCAGAAAGGAAAGGGAAGGTTCTGCTGTGCCTGCATCCAGAGTTCTGTGCAGGATGTGCTGAAACACCACAGAGCAGAGCTGAGGGAGCTGTGCCACCCTGCAGCCAAGCCTGGAGCAGCCCTGGCTCTCCCTAGGGAAGCACCTGTGGGAATCTGCTCAGTGCTGGAACGTCCCACAGACATGGGCACCTCACTGAGGCAGGGCTGGAGCTGGGAGCCACCGAGGGAAACTTTGCTTCCTTCCACTACAGCTCCACTGAATTCCCACCAGTGCACAGTGACCAGAGACCCCTGGCCAGCTCTGCCTTCCCCATGGGCCCCATTTGCCCCAAGGCTGTCCAGCTGTGGTGCCAGGAGTGCCCCAAGGTCCCTCCCCGTGTCCCCTGACCTGGCGTCGTCATCGCGGGCGATCAGGAGCCGCATGTGGCTGGTGGCCGACGCTGTCCTCAGGATGTCCACGGCCCTGGAACACAAGGACAGGTCAGTCCCAGCTCCCCTGGCCTCACCCTGCTCACCCCACAGCTGGCACAGCCCCCTGCCCTGGGCAAGCCCTGCCAGCAGCTGAGCTTTGGCTGGATGCCCCATTCCCTGCCCTGGCAGCGAGGCCGAGGGCAGCCCAGCCAGACCCTGGTTTTCCACTTCTGCAGGAAGTGAGAAGTCCCTGATAGCAAAACCCAGCAGACACCAGTGGTGGTGAGCAAATCCCCCTGCACAGCCCATGGCAGGGGCTGGAACAAGGTGCTCTTTTAACATCCCTTCCAACCCACACCATTCCAGGATTCTGTAATTCCCAGCTTCCATCCCAGGGACAGCCATTTCTGGGTCAAAATTCAAACACCCCTGGCAGCCAGGGCAGCTGCTGGGAGCCAGGCACAGCCTCCCACAGAGATTTCTCATGGACAGCACCCAGCCCAGCTGCTCTGGGCTTTGGCAGCAGGACCAGCTCCCCGTGCTGTTCCCCATCCAGCCTCTGGTGCAGGAATGCAGGGCAGGCAATAGGACAGCACGGTGTTTAATGGCAAAGGAGAGCCCCAAAGTGCTGGGGCTCCTGTGGAGCTGTGAATGATTCTCCTGGTGGGAGCTGAGGGGCTGGATCATGTCTCCAGAGGGAACTGGAGCTGCACTGCCAGGCTCAGGCTCAGCTCATCTCCTGTGCTGGGAGCTGCAGGACGTGCTGGGAGCTGCAGCAGATGGAGTGGAGGTGCCAGGAGCTGTTTCAAACCCAGCTTTTGGGGAGATGTCTGAGCATCTCTGATACAATTTGGGCTCTCTGGTTTATTTTTATACTGAATCTTTCTGTCTCACAATTTCCAAGCTGGCTCTTGGGAACAGCACCCAGGATGATGCCCTGCTGTCCCCCACACAACCCACAGCCTGAGTCACTTCACAGAATCCCACAAAAGCAACAGGAATGGGAAATTTCCATTTGGACATGGTACCTTTCACTGGTAACCCCAATTAGGGACTCTCCATTGACCTCCAGGATCTGGTCCCCTGGCTGCAGGCGGCCTAGAAAACAAAACTAATGGCTAGAAACTGTGGAAAATACAGCTTGAAGGGACTGGGAGAGGCTGGGCATTCCCCCTGTGCCCAGAGACAGGATGAAAAATGCATAGGCTGTTCCTGAGATGCTCGTCCAACCTGTTTTTCCAGATGTCCATAAATGAATTTCTGCAACCTCCCAGAACAGCCCGTGCCAAGGGCCCAGCACTTCCTCTGCTCTAGGAAGTTGCAAAAGTAAATGCTGAAAACTGCAATAAAGCTTTTGCTTAATTCACTTTGAGGTCAAGTGGTTCAGTTCGAGGTCAGGTAGAAAACCATGAGAGGCATTTCCACCTGTTCTGGATTTATTTTCCTTTATTGGATGAAAAATGATGTCACAGCTGGGGAAAAAAAAGATCTTTTTAGCTGAAGTTGTAAAAGGGGAGCTCTGCAGACCCCTAATACCTACTTAGTTGAACATATTCAGAATGAAATCAGTGATCCAGAGCAGAGCTGAGTTTGCAAAAGGATCTCTGCTCATTTTGGGGCCACAGGGAGATGGGAAGGGACAGGAAAGTTCTTGTGTGGCAGAGATGGGTCAGGCTCTACACACACAAAGCAATAGAACAGGTGCTGAGGAGCCAGTCCAAGGCTGCTGCCACACTAAAAAAATACCCCCAACTTGGTTGGAAAATCTCCAAGCAAGCACCCAAAATATCTAATAAGGGATTAAACGAATGTGTGGAATAAATGCCCTCAGTCTGGGCTGTTCTCAGACCTCATGGCACCCTGCCCTGTGTTCCACTCACCATCTGCATAAGCAACACCCCCTGGAAGGATCCTCTTGACATAAACTCCATATTCTTCTCCAGTGAGCTCCTTGATGCCACCGATGACCTTGATGCCTGCAGGAAGAGCACAGCCCGTGGCACAAAGGCAGGAAAACCAGAGCTGGCACAGGCCATGCCTGAGGGGGGCAGCCCCAACCCTAAATTCATGGAATGATGGAATGGTTTGGGTTGGAGGGACCTGAAAGCCCATCCAGTGCCATTCCAATGGACATTGCACCATCCCAGGCTGCCCCAAGCCCTGCCCAGCCTGGCCTTGGGCACTGCCAGGGATGCAGGGGCAGCCACAGCTGCTCTGGGCACCCTGTGCCAGGGCCTGCCCACCCTCACAGGGAACAATTCCTAATTCCCAATATCCCATCCATCCCTGCCCTCTGGCAGTGGGAGCCATTCCCTGTGTCCTGTCCCTCCATCCCTTGTCCCCAGTCCCTCTGCAGCTCTCCTGGAGCCCCTTCAGGCCCTGCCAGGGGCTCTGAGGTGTCCCTGGAGCTTCTCCTCTCCAGGTGAGCACCCCCAGCTCTGCCAGCCTGGCTCCAGCCCTTGGGGATCTCCATGGGCTCCCCTGGACTCTCTCCAGCAGCTGCAAGTTCATCCCTGATGGGAAAGGATCTGCTCCTGCTGCAGATCAAATAAATCATTCCTGGTGGCGTTTCCCACAGGAGATTCCTTCCCTGGTCACACCTGGACATCCCCCAGGGGCTGGGGACATCTCTGCTCCCCTGGCAGCCCCAGCAGCCCCTCAGCCCTGACACGATGGCAGAGCCACCCCAGGAGTGTCAGAGCTGGGCTGGGGCAGCAGCTGGGGCAGGAGCAGGGGGGTGACCCCAGCTCCATGTGTGACACCCCTGGGTGCCCTGCAGCACATTGGCACGGGGTCCTGCTCCTCAGAGCCCCCTCAGAGCCCCCTCAGAGCCACCTCAGAGCCCCCTCAGAGCCCCTCAGAGCCCCCTCAGAGCCCCCTCAGAGCCCCCTCAGAGCCCCCTCAGAGTCCCCTCAGAGCCCCCTCAGAGCCCCCTCAGAGCCCCCTCAGAGCCACTTCAGAGCCCCTCAGAGCCACCTCAGAGCCCCCTCAGAGCCCCCTCAGAGCCACTTCAGAGCCACCTCAGAGCCCCTCAGAGCCCCTCAGAGCCCCCTCAGAGCCCCCTCAGAGCCACTTCAGAGCCCCTCAGAGCCCCTCAGAGCCACCTCAGAGCCCCCTCAGAGCCCCCTCAGAGCCCCCTCAGAGCCACCTCAGAGCCCCTCAGAGCCCCTCAGAGCCCCCTCAGAGCCACCTCAGAGCCCCTCAGAGCCCCTCAGAGCCCCCTCAGAGCCCCTCAGAGCCCCCTCAGAGCCCCTCAGAGCCACTTCAGAGCCACCTCAGAGCCCCTCAGAGCCCCCTCAGAGCCCCTCAGAGCCACCACAGAGCCCCCTCAGAGCCACCTCAGAGCCCCTCAGAGCCACTTCAGAGCCACCTCAGAGCCACCTCAGAGCCCCTCAGAGCCACCTCAGAGCCCCTCAGAGCCACTTCAGAGCCACTTCAGAGCCACTTCAGAGCCACCTCAGAGCCACCTCAGAGCCCCTCAGAGCCCCCTCAGAGCCCCCTCAGAGCCACTTCAGAGCCCCTCAGAGCCCCTCAGAGCCCCTCAGAGCCACCTCAGAGCCACTTCAGAGCCACTTCAGAGCCCCTCAGAGCCACTTCAGAGCCCCCTCAGAGCCCCCTCAGAACCCCCTCAGAGCACCCTCAGAGCCCCCTCAGAGCCCCCTCAGAGTCCCCTCAGAGCCACCTCAGAGCCCCTCAGAGCCCCCTCAGAGCCCCTCAGAGCCACCTCAGAGCCCCCTCAGAGCCCCCTCAGAGCCCCTCAGAGCCCCTCAGAGCCACCTCAGAGCCCCCTCAGAGCCCCTCAGAGCCCCTCAGAGCCACCTCAGAGCCACCTCAGAGCCCCCTCAGAGCCCCCTCAGAGCCCCTCAGAGCCCCCTCAGAGCCCCTCAGAGCCACTTCAGAGCCCCCTCAGAGCCCCCTCAGAGCCCCTCAGAGCCCCTCAGAGCCACCTCAGAGCCCCTCAGAGCCACCTCAGAGCCCCCTCAGAGCCCCTCAGAGCCACCACAGGCCTGTCCTTGTGCCCACCCTGAGCTGGCTGGCAGGAAAAGGTCCAAGAGACTTATTTATTTATCCAGGGCTCATTAAGTCCTATTTGGAAGATCCAGGCTATGGACAGAAGGATTAAAAAGCCTGGCTTTAATTAACAAATCTGTGCCCAGAGCCATGGGTCGGGTGTTTGGCTGAGGGGGACAGGCTGGGGACAGGCTGGGGACAGGCAGTGCCACTGAGCCAGGCCCAGGCCAGCCCTGCCCCAACTCTGAGCCCTGCATGGCCCTGGGCTGTGGGAACAGGGCCCAGCTGCTGCCCTAAAACCTGGGAACACTAAAAACCAAGACAGAGGGGGATCCTGGGTGGGGATTTCTCAGCACACAGCACCATTCCCATCCCTGCTTCCCTTCCTTTGGTAACCCAAGCTCTGCTCTCAGGCCCCTCACAGCTCTCATCTGCCTCCAGGGAAAGAGTTTGTGTCTCAAGTCACCTTCAGATTAGATTAGATAATAACTAAATTACAACAATTTCCCATAAATACATTTACATTTCTATATTCACCAATTGCTGCTTTTCCCAAGCTCCAAATCCCAGCCCTGTCTGAATGCTGGAGTTTATTCCCTAGGCTTAATGCATTAACCAGGCCCTTGTGAGGAGCTGGAACTGTTGTTACTGCTGGAACTCACAGGGAACTCACAGCAGAACACGTCAGGAATGGGCACTGATATTTTCTAATTTATAGTATAAAATATAAATTATAAAATATTATATAATATATATTAGATATTATATAATATATATTAATAAATATTATTCTATCGTTTATTTCTATATTTTGTATAATATTTTATATTTATTTTATTTCTATATATTATATATTATATATTATATATTATAATATAGTATCTATATTATATATAATATAGATAATATACATTATGTATTGTTATATATATTATAAATTGTACAATATATTATATTATTATATTATATTATAATTTATGTTTATAATATTTTCTAATTTATAGTGGATTATAAAAGAAAGTCACTCAAATTGGAAATATTGCCCCAAAAAAAGGATCTATAAGCAGCACAAGCCTCACCAAGGTGTGGGTCAGGTCAGGCACTGGGCACAAAAGTGGGAGGAGATGCTGCAGCCATGAAAGGTAGAACCTGCCCATGGCCAGGGATGCTGAGCAGGATATTCCTGTGCTCTCTGTGGAGCCAGGGGATCTCTGCTGGGCTGTGCAGACACCCCAGGGATCAGGGGCACCCCAGGGATTGGCCTGGGAAACCATGAGGGGTCTGCAGAGGCAAAACCCCATCAATTATGGAGCAGAGCCTGAAGTCCAGGCCAAGGCTGGACATGACTGAGGAACACATCCCACATCTTTCTTCACCCCTAACACAAAGGAATTAGGAATGAAGAAGCACATCAGACAAATAATACCAAAATCTGCACCTTGCAGATGCCCAGCCACAGCATCCCCCAGCAGCCCAGTGTGTGCTGAGATATCAAATCGATAATGACTCATTTCCCTTTTGTGTCTGCAAATCAATTGTAATAATGCCTTAATATAGCTGAGGTATCCCAAATCCTCCTTTATCCCCAACGATGTCAGGAGAAAATCCGATCTTGTTATTAAAATCACTGATTACTCACAGTATTGCTCCAGACACACTCAAACTTGGGTGGGGGAGGAAAAATCCCTCAGTTTTAACTCCCTTGTTGGGAAAGCAGCTGGAGGCTGCTGAGCTCTGCCCACTGCTCACACCCATCACCTCACCAAGAAGCTGCTCTGGGTGCCAGTCCTGACCCCAAAATCCACTGGAGAGTCCCAGTGGGGCAGGGAGGAGGAGGAGGAAGAGGAGGAGGAGGAGGAGGAGGGAGGGCTCAGCCCTTCCAGGGCACAGCAGCTGATGGATGGCAGCAAACTTGGATCATCCAGGACTGTGGTGGCAGCATTCCTGGGATGATATTTTTTTTACATATTTTATAGACATTTACTTCAATCAGATTTCTATTTGGGACCCAGTGTAGGTAAATAACGGCTCTTTAATTATCACAGCATCAAAGTCCCAGTATAATGCTTATTAAGTCATACTTAGGGCCAGATAATCTAGCCTATTTTGGATCCCTCTATTTAATCTTTCCTTTCTGGCAAAGGTCCTGGAGCTGATGCCCATGTCCCTGGTTTTTTTCTCTTTTGCTTAACAAAGTTTGCCAGGAAAACTCCAGATGGACTTAGAGGTAAGACTGACCAAGTCTGTGCTTTGTTTAGGCTCTTAACAATCCTATAAATTTCTCCAAGACCCTCAAGCTCCTCTGGTGCCTCTAATCCCACTCCCACTAATGCCAGAGTCACAGTTCTCAGGCTATAATCTCACCTGCTCCTGGATCCACACAGGTCAGGGGGTGTCCTGGCTAATCTGGTTGTTTAGTCCAACTGGGATCATCCTGACCCCAGTGCCTGCCAGGCTGGGCACACAGAGGGGCAGCCTGCTCCCTGCCTAAGCTGGCAATGTTCAATTACATTTCCCTTAATCCCTCTGTTGATCTTGCAGCCCCCGCCAGCTTTTTCTGTCTGGAGGAAGGGACAGATTGGAGGTGAATCACTCCCTGCCCTGTCCTAAGCAGATGAAGGTCAAGATAATGAGATCTCAGTGTTTCTGAGAAATGCTCCTTAATCAGCAATTCCCTTTGATGGCTATTCTTTAATTCGAGGTTCAGGTGAGAGGAGCTGCCAGGTAACCCCTTTGAACTTCTGCTGAGGTTCACTTGTGGGTTTGCACCTGAAGCCACAGAGCAACAGACCCGCGGCCAAACGCTGACCTGGCAGCCAGCACTGCTGCTGCTCCCAAGGAACTGCTGGGATAGCACCTCATGCTGCCTGGGAACTGCTGGGATAGCCCTGCATCCCACCTGGGAACTGCTGGGATAACACCTCATCCTACCTGGGAACTGCTGGGATAGCCCTGCATCCCACCTGGGAACTGCTGGGATTACACCTCATCCTGCCTGGGAACTGCTGGGATAGCCCTGCATCCCACCTGGGAACTGTTGGAATAACACTTCATCCCACCTGGGAAACTGCTGGGATAATATCTGAGAAACTGCTGGGATAACCCTGCATCCATCTGGGAAAGTGCTGGGAAAACCCTGCATCCCACCTGGGAACTGTTGAGATAACCCTGCATCCCACCTGGGAAACTGCTGGGATAACACCTCATCCTGCCTGGGAACTGCTGGGATAATCCTGTATCCCACCTGGGAAACTGCTGGGATAGCCCTGCATCCCACCTGGGAACTGCTGGGATAACACCTGAGAAACTGCTGGGATAGCCCTGCATCCCACCTGGGAACTGCTGGGATAACACCTCGTCCTACCTGAAAAACTGCTGAGATAACCCTGCATTCCACCTGAGAAAGTGCTGGAATAACACCTCATCCTACCTGGGAAAATGCTGGGATAACATCTGAGAAACTGCTGGGATAACCCTGCATTCAGCTTGAGAAACTCATGAAGACGCTTTCTTTTCCCAAATAAACCCACTCTGACACCTCTGGCACACACAGGGATTCTGTAAGCAGCACTCATCACAGAGGGAAGATTAAGCTGCCAGAGGGCAGGGCTGGATGGGATATTGGGAATGAGGAATTGTTCCCTGTGAGGGTGGGCAGGCCCTGGCACAGGGTGCCCAGAGCAGCTGTGGCTGCCCCTGCATCCCTGGCAGTGCCCAAGGCCAGGCTGGGCAGGGCTGGGAGCAGCCTGGGACAGTGGGAGGTGTCCCTGCCATGGTGCAGTGAGATGAGACTTTGAGATCCCTTCAACCCAACCCATTCTATTATTTCTGGAGGATGATTGCTTGTCCTGAGTGCTCCAAGCCCCACAGGAGAGGATGAAGCCAGCAGCTGATGGCTTTAGGAAATCCACATTATTGTACATCATTGTAGCTTCCTCCAGCACACCACAATCTGCTTTGTAGGTTCTGCTGGACCCTGCAGAGACCCTCAGGCCCAGACTGGGGGAAAGGAGAGGAGCTGGGACCCAGGGAAGTGGCTCACAAAGGGCTGCCACATCTGTCACCTCTCCCAGAGCTCAGTGATGGCCCCATCAGGCTTTTCTGGGCCTCCTCCTTTAATGAGCTAATCTAAACCAGCAGCTGAAATCCCATCAACCCAACCAAATCCACCTCTGCAGATTAAAATATCATATTCACCAAGTAAAGTCATTTTTCTGAACTCCCATGAACCTCATGAATGTGGGAAGAGTCATCAGATCTGTCCCTGCCTGAGCTGGAAAAGCCAATAATGAATCCACAATTAATCTCAGGTCTCAGGAAACCTGAACTTGTTTCTCTGGTGACTCCTCAGGAGCTGTCCCAGGTGGTCATTCAGGGGTCTCACCAAGGGTCCCCAGCTGCTCTGTGGAGGGTGGGCTGCACTCACAATTAAGGATTAGGGGAGAGATTGTGAAATCCTGATGCAGGATCACAGATTTTTATAAAGCCTATGGCAGAGCACCACTGGATTCAGAGAGGTCAGGGAAATGCTCTGCTGGATCCCTCTGGGCTGGGTGTCATGAACCTGGGACTCGGTCACGTTCTGATGGATGTGACCTTCTCCTTTCCCTCCTCTCCCATGCTTTGAAGTTCAGAGTGCTCTGGGAGGACACCTGACTCACCGCGTGCTCATTCCCTTCCCCGTGGGCCAAACTTTCCAAAGGCAGCTCATGCACCCAGCCCTCAGGAGTGCTGCAGGAAGCACCTTCCATCCCCCACTGGGATGGTTTGCCAGGGGAAAAGCCTGCAGAGGGGCAGGGGAGTGCTGGGGATTCTGCTTTTCTATTTATTTAGCATTTTAATTGATTTAATCCAAAAAATCCTGAAAGGCCCCTCCTGCTCATCCAGCTGAGGGAATGGGTTGTGGGCCTGGGCTCCTGCATTGCCTGCTCACCATTACCATGGAATTAGTTGGGATTTTGACATTGTTTAAATGCCACAGCTGCAAAAGGTGCAGAAGGCGTTCACCACAGGCAGGTACAAGACACAAGACGCAGCGGGACACCAGCCTGCACACAGGGAGGCACATCCTGACCCAGGCTCTGGGGCTGGGGGGATGTTTGAGGCCCACCCTGGTACTCCCCCAGCCCATCCCTGGTACTCCCCCATCCCTGTCCATCCCTGGCACTTCCCCATCCCTGGTACTCCCCCAGCCCATCCCTGGTTCTCACCCATCCCAGCCCACCCCAGGCACTCACCCAGCCCGTTTGCACACTCGTAGAAGTCGAAGCAGTGCACGGCTCGGTCCATCCCGTACGGTCCCATGAGTGTCCTGGGGGAGGCAAGAGGAGCAGTTTTGTGTCATGGGCCATAAAGGACAGGGGCATAGGTGCCCAGCCAGCACACCCTAGGGCACATTGTCCCTCCCAGCCCAGCAACACCCAGGCTGAGGGATGGCCCCACCACTGCCCCCACAGGGGCAAAGCAGCCCCCAGCCAGCCCCCCCGAGCTGTGCCCAGATAAATGAGAGAATATGTGCAGGGCTGAGCATCATCCTCCCCACCCAGCAAATCTGCTGGACCTGTCTGTGCTTCATTACCCCAGATTATCGGGGCTGCACAGCTGTGCAGCTCCTGGGAAATGAGATCAGAGCTGGGAGCCGTGCTCTGGAATAAAGCACTTCACAAACACAGCCTGGAATGAACACACACAGGCACAATCCACTCTCAAGGCTTTTAATGCAGGCAGAGGGTCTGGAAAAGGGGATGTAAGAGCAGCTCCAAGTCCTGCCTGGTCTGGTGGGAGCTTCTCATCACAAGCCAGAGCGGATGGAAGAGCATCACACACCTGAGATTCCCCCAGACATCCCACAGCCTCCCCTAAACACCATAGGCAAGCTCCCAGATGAATGACCCCAGAACCACCTTGCCCAACCACAGGTGCCAGACACCAAACCTGGGACCAGCAGCACTTCTCCTTGGACTCCTCAGGATGGATGAGCCCTAATCTGAAACCCCAACCCAGATGTGCCAGGTGGAAACCAGGAGTGGGGAGGCACCAAAGCACTCCCCAGCATCAGTGCCAAGAGAGAAAGTGTTTCCCAATCCATATCAGGTCCCAGATCTGAACACGGATGAGGAGGAACAGCAGCGTGGGAAACAAGAGGCAGCTCCAGCAGGATGCAGGATAAGAATAACCTGCAGGGACTTACCAGGAGTCCAAAATAAAACTCAAAATATCGAGCTGTCCAGCAAAGCCAGTAACTTCCACCTCTCAGATTCGGACTGGAGGCATTTTCTCCATGTTAAAAAATGCCCCTCCTTGCTATCCTTGCACCTCACTGAAGACTGAACAAACAACTGGCCACATCTGGCTATTGAAAAATAGAGCTCGAAGGCACCCAGGGAGGCAGAGCAGCCCTGGATTCAGGCTGGTTCGGGATTTTCAGGGTATTTCAAGTAAATCACCGAGGAAATTCCGCGGGCGAGCCCGGCTCGGGGCGGGCAGGGAGGCACCACCGGCTGCAGCTCCGGCTGAGCAGATGCTCCTTGATACCATCAGCTCTTATCATCATCCCTGCCATCAACCCTTATCATCATCATCATCATCATCCCCACGCCGAGGCACGCCTGCCCGGCAGCCCCGAGCACAAAACGCCACCAAAGCACAAAACCCAACCAGCCTTGAACGCCACCAAAGCACAAAATGCCACCAAAGCACAAAACTCAGCCAGCCTCAAATGCCACCAAAGCACAAAACCCAACCAGCCTTGAACGCCACCAAAGCACAAAATGCCACCAAAGCACAAAATGCCACCAGAGCACAAAACCCAATCAGTGCCGGTGTCTGGGGCTCCTCCTGCCATCCCTGCATCCCAACCCCACTCTGGGGGAAGCCACAGGGCACAGCCTGGGCTGGGATTGTTTCTGTTGAGCAATTCCATCCCCGTTACCTGCTGATGATGATGGCTCCCTTGTAAAGCACAGAGACCGCGGGCATCGTGGCGGCGGTGCCAGCCCGGCCCTGCCCGGCACCACCGCTCGGATTTGGCAGGAATCCGTTAAAGTGATGGGGGGAAAAAATGGGAAAAAAAAAAAGAAAAAAGAAAGGGGAGGTCGGAGGGCATCACGTGGTGTCCCCGTATGCATGTTAATTCCTCCCAACATTAACACAGATCAGCTCAAAACATCTCCAACTTTAGATTAAAGCTTACGCAAGCCGGGGCCAGCGCGGCCCCTCCAGGCACGGGGCCGGAGCAGGGCTGGCCCCTCATCCTCAGCACAAGGGGGTTCCTTGGGATGTGCTCTTGGGAACGGCCCCTGCAGGGGTGGAGGGCAGTGTTTGCAGTGGGACAGGTGCAGTCACCATCCCTAAAGGGTTAAAATCCATAGCAGAGCTCTGGAAGCAGGAACAGACTGTGGCACTTAGGGGGTTTAGGGTTGATGTTGATTTTTTTCCTTTTAGCATCTTTTCCAGCCCACAGGATTTCCTCCTTAATGCAGGACAAGTTCAGCTGTCCCCTGTGTGCTGGGAGGTCAGAAGCCTGACTTGCCTTTGAACAGCCAGAGAATTCACAGAATCACTGGGTTGGGAGAGACCTTCAAGATCATCGAGTCCAACCCAGCCCCAACACCTCACCTGGCACCCAGTGCCACATCCAGGCTTTGTTAAACACACCCAGGGATGGGGACTCCACCACCTCCCTGGGCAGAACATTCCAGAACTTTCTCACTCTATCAGTAAAAAACGTTTTCCTAATATCCAACCTATATTTCCCTTGGTGCAGCTTGAGGCTGTGTGCTCCATCCCTATCTTGGTGCCACCACCCAGCTGGAGAGCCAGCAGCACCCTGTCTTGTGGGATGGAGGGATGAAATAAGACTATCCAAGGTTTGCCAGTGATGGGAATGGACCAGAAGAGCCACCCTGGGGCTTGGCAGGAGCAGGGGGAAAGCTCTGGTGGCTTTCCTGAGAAGGGAAATGTCCTCCCCTGGACCCACAGGAGGACACGGGTCCCGCATGCCAGCCAGCTCTGGGGAACATCTGAGGTCACAGGGAGCTCCTGGCCCTCATTCCTCCATCAGTGTCCTCCTCGTGCTGTCCCATGTCTCAGCAGGCTCCTGGCCAGGCCCCATTAGTGGCCCCTGCCCTCGTTAGCAGAGCTCTGACTGCAGCCAATGTGGCCACGCCTGGCACTGCCACCCCTTGCCAAACCATCCCTTGAGTCCAAGCTGCTGGATGGATGCTGCTGTTCCCATGCTTGAACAACTGATTTTATCAGCTGGAGCTTCCCCGATGGCCTCGTGCAAAGTGCTCCAAAACAAAGACAAATTGGAAAAGTTCTCCTGCATTTTGTCTTCTTTTTTTAAATTGTTTTCACTTGAGGACATTCAGATGCCGTATAAAACCTGAATAGATTTGACCTTCAGGTGGCCAAAACTTTCCTAAGAATTAAATTATCTAGCTAAAAAAAAAAAAATTTGGATAAGTAATGCCAACTAGACAAACATAGATGCATCTGGTGATAGTTCATTTTGCACACTCCAGCACAGCAAGATATGGGGTCATCAGGTGTTGGAATCTCCTGCCTTAATGTTTGGCTCTCTTGCCTTAATTTTTGGCTCTCCACACCCTTGCCAAAGCTTTGGCTGAAGCAGGCTAAGCCTGAGGGGTAACACCTGGGCCCATCTCCAAATCTGCTGGAGAGCCAAAAATTAAGGCAGGAGATTCCAACACCTGATGACCCCCAGCTCTGGGTGCCTCGTTCAAGGCTGGCCAGAAAGTTTTGTGGCAGAACATGCGCAGGAATTCAGTGCTGGGCTGTGGAACCCTCCCTCTGTGCCCGCTCTGCAGTGGGAGCTGTTCCACACCAGGACACAGCTCCCAAGGGGCAGGAGAGCCCTGGCACCATGCCCAGCCTGGGGTGAGCTTTTGGGCACCCCTCACCCAGCAGCTCCTGCCACTCACACTCAGGATCACACCCTGGGTCCTCTGATGCATCAAGAACCTTCCTGGTCAGAGGAAGAGACATTTCCATCCCACCATCAACACACCACCAAAACACCGTGTACAACCATCCCAGATCCCTTGGGACTCTGCTCATGCATTGTCCCACAATTCCTGCCCTGATCCATGGGCCAGAGTCTTGGCTGGGATAAATCAGGGATGTTGAAGGGAAGGGATTGCACAAGCACTGGAGGCAATAGCAGTGGGATAAAGTTGAAGCACTGGCACAGGGTGCCCAGAGAAGCTGTGGCTGCCCCTGGATCCATGGAAATGTCCAAAGGCAGGTTGGAAGGGGTCCATTCCCAAGACAGGGAGTGGAATGAGATGATCTTTAAGGTCCCTTCCCACTGAAGCATTCTGTGGCTCTATGATAAGGTCACTTCTCTGCCCAGTTTCAGAGGGGCTGCAGGAAAGCTCACTGGAGCCAGGCCAAGCCAAAACTTGCAGGAAAATGGGGAAATTTTCCTGCCTGGCACTTTAGCAATTCACCCACCCAGATTTCTGCATCTCAGGGAACAGTTTCTACACTCAGGGTTACACAGGTGTGTTTGGGGCTCACATTTCTGACACAAAGTCCTTCAGCTGCCCCAGGCTGGGGTTCCTGCTCCTGCCCACTGGGTGGGATGTTGCAATAAACCACAGGCTTGTCCACAAGCTGGTAAAAGAAATGAAAACCGAATCCAAGAGGCCCTCAGGGAAGAGGAGCAATGCTCAGCTTCCAACTTTCTCTCCAAACACTCAGTTCCTCAGTTCCATCCTCCAAAACACACACCAGCCCTGGCAAAGCACCAGACACTGCTGCTGCTCCCGTTCATTAACACATCTCCAATCAGAGGAACCTTCAACAGAAACAATTCAGAGGATTTTCAGTGGTTTAAAACTTGGGATCACATTCAGGAAGGATTTATAAGGGCCCATGATCTACCCAAGGGTCCCAGGCCTAATTTGTATAACAGTGTTGAGGGCAAACATTCCCCTGGCAAAGGGCCTGGGCTGTGTGCTCGAGATCCTTCTGGAGCTGGGACCCAGCTGAGCCACCCCAGGGTAACCCAGGATTCTCCTCCCAGGGAACTGCTGGTGAGACTTCAGATTTTAAATCAGATTTTAGCTTTTTAAAAGAGAGAATAGAAGAATTAAGAATAATTGAAGTGAGAATTGATGCCCCATGGGGCTGGACAGCAGATAAACATGTTTCACTTGTTGTCCACTTTTTCATTGACTGCTAGAAAAATGGGTTTAAAACTCATGGAAAAATTGGGGTTTTTTCCCAATGGAAAAATTACTTTTGCTTGGAAAATATATTTTTAATAGAAGTTGAGT